AGCAATGAGCAGAGTGAGAAGCCCACGACTTTCCAATATGAGGGGCGGCAGATCTTTTGAGTCATCAACAGGAATTTGCTAAATCTGTCTCAATCCAGAAGACTTTAGAGTTCAAAGTAGTCGTTTACTCCAATTAGTATGACTCTGTTTGCTGACAGCAGTGACTCAAGTTCTTGTGAGTGCAGACCATTTTCTTAATGGCCGGATGGAAGAGTTCTGGTAAGAAACAAAATCACCCCAACTCAGTCTTTCACTTAAAAATATAATGGTTCAGGAAAAAGAGAAGTTGAAAAAATGCAACATTTACAAGAAGGATTGAAATTCATTCAACAATATTTATAAATGTATATGTAAATATATGTCAGTTAACACTGTGGTGTAGGAGAATGTTATTATTGCAAAATATTGTGTGTATGTATAAGTGCTAGATAGATATTTTATTTCTCTTGCATTGCTTCTGATAGAGCCCTTACATAAATGCCTCAATAAAAGGTTTCCATAGGCCAAGCACAGTGGCTGATGTCTGTAATCCTTGCACTTTGGGAGGCCAGGGTGGGAGGATTGCTTGAGCTCAGGATTTCAAGATCAGCCTGGACAACATAGTGAGACCTCATCTCTTAAAAAAAAAGAAAAAGAAAATTACCTGGGCTTGGGGGCATGAGCCTATAGTCCCAGATACTTGGGACTCTGAGGCAGGAGAATCACTTGAGTCCAGGGGATTGAGGCTGCAGTGAGCTGGGATCATGCCAGTGAACTCCAGCCTGAGCAACAGAGTGATCTCCTGTTTGTTTTGTTTTGTTTTGTTTTAATAAGCCTTTCATGGTTCTCTGATAGCTCATTTTCCCACTATGGTTGGTTTACTGTCTTTACATGATTGGTGTGTCCCTTCTGGTGTGGACTGAGTATGTAGTCAGGGGCTATGTAGTAAGGCAAAATTTTATACTGCGTTTTAAACAAAAGAATAAGCCAAATGTTGTTAGATAATTTTCTCAGTTAAAGTCTCTGCAGCCTGTGCAAAATATTGGCAGAGCCATGCCATCGAAAGTTGTAGTTAGTCATAAATTGAGAGAAAGCAGTAAAGGTAACTAGAATCTGTTTTGTGGTACAATGTCAACACTTCAAATTATTAGAAGATTATATTTCCCATGCTGTTCAGAATTCAAGATGATAAGCTTTTACCTGATCTCAAACCAGGCAAAGTGGGGACCAAAGGGAGGCTCAAACTTTACCTGTATTATGTTCACTTGTATACTTGATCCTGGATTGTACCACACATCTTTAAAATAAATATAAATTAAAGAAAAAAAAGATGATAAGCTTTGTTTATATAAATTGAGTCATATACTGAATTATTACATTTAGGTATCTTGCCTTTACCTGTGGTCACAGAGGAAGAATACTGGGAAACTACAGAAATTCAGGCACAGATTAGTTTTCACTCAAGAGCTCTCATTATAATGGAGATTTGCAATCTCAATTGTAGACTAAAACTCCAAGGCTGAACTGAAATCATTTAAATATTTGTGATAAGATAAAAAATCTACAGAGAAAAAAAAACCTACAGCGAATATTTCTGATTCTATACTTTATAGAGACTCTTTTGGAGATTTAGGAGTACTTGGGTTAAAAATCAGATGAAAGTATTCAGTGGAATACAGCTGGTAAGAAGGAGGAGATCATTCTCCTTGGGCTTTGCTCAATACACTAAGTCATTTCACTTTTTTTGCAGGTTTAATGTCAGCTAGCTTACTCTCCATAGCTTTAGCTCTCTCAGATAGGGTGAGTCATATACTAGGGCAAGAATAAAATGACAGAGGGCTAAGGTTTCTAGTCATATGTTAGCACAAACACCTGACTTTGTCCTTGAGATATGTCAAATGTGTAGACTGAGTCGTTGAAACTATAGCATATGGACTTTATCCTTTCATAAGAAATACTTGGACCAGCGAGCTGAAATTCTTGTGATTTTTAAATGATGCATGCTCTAGCAGTATAACCCAAATAATTACAACAGTCCCTCCTTATCTGAAGTTTCTCTTTCTGCAGTTTCAGTTACCTACAGTCAGCCATTTTCCAAAAGATTAAATAGAAAATTACAGAAACAACAATTTATAGGTTTTAAATTGCACACTGTTCTGAGTAGCTTGAATCTCATGCAGTCCCATTCTGTCCCTTCTTCATCACAAAAAGGGGGAATACAGTACAAGATATTTTGAGAGAGAGAGAGAATACACCTTTCATTACAGTTATTGTTATAATTATTCTATATTAGTATTAGATATTATTAATGTCTTACTGTACCTAATTTATAAATTAAGATTTATCATAGGTATATGTGTATGAGAATGAACATAAGGTTCAATACTATGCTCAGTTTTAGGCATCCACTGAACATACCCTCCATGGATAAGGGGGGCTACTGTATGTTAAAGGAAAGAAATTCTGGTTTTAGAATTGGGCTGGAAGATTTAAAGACATACTGTAGATGTCTGAATATAAAACAAGCCTGAATATAGGATGACCTCCCCTGTTTTGGTAAAGATAAAAATTATCAAAAAAGGTGTTTTGGGACCAATACATATATTGAAAACCTACTATGTACCAGAAATTATTTTAGGATCTGAGGATCCAACAAGACAAAAAAAAAAAGAAAGAAAGAAAGAAAAGAAGAAGAAAAAAAGAAAAAGACAGAAATCACCACCCTTCTAGAACATACATTCTTGCTTACATTATAAATAAATTAAACAGTGTTAAAGGTGGTAAGTGCTATGGAGAACAATACAGCAGGAAAAAATCCAGAGGAATGCTTGCTGAGTATGAGTGTGTGTGTGTGTGTGTGTGTGTGTGTGTGTATTTGGGGTAGGGAGACACCTTGGGACTCTGCCTTACAAGGTGACAGCATGAATTTAGGTGAGGTGAGAGAGTGAGCCATGCAGGTATCTGGAGCAGAAGCTTGGAGTTCAGAGACCTGGAAGGAATGTGTCTGGCATGGTGAAGGAATGGCAAGGAGGACAGTGTGGCTGGTGCAGGGGGAGGAGGAAAGCAGTGTGGTAGAGAGAGGCAGAGAAATGAGGTGAGGATGGAAAGACTGAAATTCAGGTTATCTACAGGTTGTACGGAGGATTTGTAGTCACAGTGCAGATTTAATCTGTAGGCATGTCATACATGGATGGCGAGGACACTGTGAGAGTTTTGTCTTTTATTTTTATTTTTAATTAGATGGGGAGCTGCAGGAGGGTTTTCAGGTGATGAATGCAGGGGAGGTAAAACTTCTCCTTTGCCCGCTTAGGGCCCCCTGCTGGGACTGACAAGGGACAAACTAACAGGAAAAAAGCTTGACAATTTTATTTAGTAAATTTTACATGCGCATAGGAGTCTGCACAAGAAAATGAAGACACAAAGAAGCATCTAAGGCTAAACACATATACTAAGTTGGAGAAAGAGTAGTAAATTGTGAAAATGTGACAAGGGTTTGGGCTAGGGCAGTTAATTGTGGAAAAGTGACTAGGAAGAAAAGGGTTAGTTTAACAAGGTTTGTCAGGTTTCTCTCAACCCCATTTCCCTGTCTCTGCTAAGAATGTCTTCCTCCTGGTACAGGGAAGGCACCTCTCATAAGGGTGTTTTATGTCCTGTTTTCAGAAAGAAAAAAGAAGGTCAGAGTGCTGTTTTTCAAGTGTCTTTTAACTCAGGATAATCAATATGCCAAAGTAGCATATTTTGGAGTGGCTTGTTTTGATCCCCTGAAGTAACATGCCAAGTTAAAAAGGATCATTTTGGTTTTTGAGTGTAGGTTGAAAAGGGTAAGGGAAACCAATGAAGAGACTATTGTAGTAGACCAGGTGAGAGATAATGAGTAGTATTCTCTTGTATTCTCTTGTACCACATTTTGTTTACCCATTCACTTGTTGATGGACATTTGGGTTGTTTTCAGTTTTGGGATATTGTGACTAAAGCTCCTATGAATATTCATGTACAAGCTCTTATGTGGGCATGTTTTCCAGTCTTTTAGATAAATCTCTAAGAGTGGAACCCTGGGTTGTGAGGTAGGTCTGTATTTAACTCCTAAGAAACTGCCAAGCAGCTTCCTCAAGTGGTTGTATCATTTCACATTTCTGCATGCGGTATATGAAACTTCCAGTTGCTTCAGGTCCCTCCTGGCACTAAGTATTTTTTGATGTTAGCCATTCTAGGAGGTATGGTGATATCTTTTTTGTTGTTGTTTTTAGAGTTGAAGTCCCATTCTGTTGCCCAGGCTGGAGTGCAGTGGAAGGCTTACAGCCATCGCAGCCTCAGCCTGCTGGGCTCAGGAGATCCTTCCCTCTCAGCCTTCCAAGTAGCTGGAACCACAGACATGCACCACCACACCTGGCTAATTTTTTATTTATTGTAGAGATGGGTCTCACCAAGTTGCCCGGGCTGATCTCGAACCCCTGGGCTCAGGCAATCCTCTTGCCTCTGCCTCCCAACGTGCTGGGATTACAGGTGTCAGCCACCACACCCAACTCACAGGGCTGGTATGGTGATCTCTTATTGCAGCTTTAATTTGCATTATTCTTGATGGCTAATGATAATGAAGGATGTCGAGTTTTTAATCTCCTCATTCAGAACCTTATTTTATCTTTGTTGTTGGAACTTTGGTTCCTTTCAACTGAGGTTCATAATAACTTTTGAAAATAAAAGATTGACTTTGACTTTTTGTGGGCTGACAGTAGCTTATATAGTTTCATGGTTTTATTTCTGGGAAACTCATTTAAAATGGGAAAGTATAATACTGCTATTAAATTTCAATTTCAATGATCTTTCATTAAATTTCAATTTTACCTTGAGTCATTTATGTTGGGTAGTGCAGTTTGTTTATGCTGTGTCTTGTATGGGGTCTATTACTACCTATATTCTATCATTTAGGATGAAAATACATTCCATGTGATAGTAACAGGTCTACGTAAACGTAAATTGTCTCAAAATATTCAACTAGAATGAGAATTTAACTTTTTTCCCAGGTTCCTGACGTCATCAGCAGCATAAGGCAGTTGTCTAAGGCAGCCATGAAGGAGGATGTCAAGCCCAGCAAAGACAACGAAGACGCCTTTTACAACTCCCAGAAATTCGAAGTCTTGTACTGTGGAAAGGTGACGGTGACCCACAAGAAGGCCCCATCAAGCCTCATCGATGACTGCATCGAAAAGTTCAGCCTGCACGAACAGCAGCGCTTGAAGCTCCAGGGCGAGCAGCGGGGCGCTGACCCCAGCGAGGACCTGGCTGTCTTCGAGGTGGCAGTGCCAGGGTCCCCTGGAGACTGCCTGCTGGAGGAGGTGGATGGCACCCACAGCCCCCCGGACTTACCTGCCGTGGCCAGCCAGCCTGCTCTGTCCGGCTCCCGGGTTTGCTTCCCCGAGCGGATTTTAGAAGATTCCGGCTTTGATGAGCAGCAGGAGTTTCGGTCCCGGTGCAGCAGTGTCACCGGAGTGCAAAGGAAAGTTCACGAGAGCCAAAAATCACATCCGCGAAGGAGACACGCCAGCGCACCCAGTCACGTACAGCCCTCGGATTCCGAGAAGAACAGAACAATGCTCTTTCAGGTAGGCCCTGACAGGGGGTATCCGGGCTTTTCAGCAGAAATTGCTGGACAGAAGCAGCTGGGCAGCCAGCCCCTCCCAGTTCCTCATTCTGGTTGCCCCCAGGGGCCTCGTCTTTGCAGGGAATAATCCGGCTTGTATTTGTCTTCCCCTCAAAAGCACATAAGGCAGGTGGAGAAAGAACACAGGAGAGTAGAGAAGGGGCGAGAAGCAGACATAGAGTGTGGATTGTAAGCAGTAAGGGAGTAGGAAAGGAAGAGGAGGAAAAAGGATTTCATGGAGCATCGTGGAAACATGGTGGGAAGAAGCAACATGGAAGATTACTATCTGTCACCAGTTGATTCTTAAGTAAATGCTTTTTAAAAAAGATAATTGTGGAAAGCCAGTCTTATAGACGATTTCACGATGTTGAGTCTGAGAGAGTATGATTTGGCATGAGAAAGAAGGGAATTTTTCTGGAGAGGAACAAAGAAAAATCTAGATATATTTTCAGTAGAGAGCACAGCAATTGACTGTCATACAAGAGAGAAGGTTAAAGAAACACTATTGGCCTGAAATGTCCTGAATCGGCTATGTTAAACGGTCTAAAAGATAGTGCTTAATTCTAAAAATAATTTTTGAATGTTATTTAGGGTATAGAAAATGTCAAGCTCCACTTAGGAACTTAATTCATAACACTGCCCTGCAGAATCTTGAATTAGTCCTCAACCTGTGAAATTTGAGTTTTCTTGGGGAAAAAAATGAAGTACTGCTCTTTTATCCTATTTAAAGTACTCCTGAGAAGGAAATTTTGTGGTGTATTTTTGAAAGCAGTCCTAGTAGTTAATATTTATCAGAAACTTGTGGTTTTTTTTTTTTTTTTGAGAAAGCAGAATTTATTGAGAGGACAGCAACGCTCCCACAGTGGGAGGAGACCTGAGGGGGTTGCTCTGTTTGTTTTTTATTGCTGTTGTTTTTTGTTAACTCTGGCATGTAATTAAAGTGTCTCCAGTCCTTGGTGATATATTAATTGAGTTTTCCCTTTTCTTTGGGCTATCAGATTTGTTCTTTTTCATAGTTAATCACAGTCCTTGCTTTTAATTTTTCTGAATGGTTATTTTTATAACAACTAACTTACCAACCTGATTCCTTATATGTCATTTTGCTGACCGTTTGGGAGAAAGCATGATTATAACTTATAAACAAATAATTGATATTTTTAGAAATTGTGAAGTAACCAGGTACAGTGGCTCACGTCTATAATCCCAGCACTTTGGGAGGCGGAGATGAGAGGATTGCCTGAGTCCAGGGGTTCGAGACCAGCCTGGGCAACTTGGTGAGACCTCATCTCTACAATAAATAAAGAAAATTAGCTGGGTGTGGTGGTGCACACCTGTGGTGACAGCTACTTGGAAGGCTGAGGCAGAAGGATCACCTGAGCCCAGTAGGTCAAGGCTGCGTGAGCGTACCACTGCACTACAGCGTGGGTGACAGAGTGAGATTCCTACTTAAAAAAAAAAAAAAGAAAAGAAATTGTGAATTGAGGAAAGGCTGCATGTGTTTTTAAAAGATAATTGTTTCTAATTTGAAAAAATATGTTTTCCATCATTTTATAATTGGAAACTTAGTTTTTTATAATTGAGTCTTAGATTTCATAATTTTTCAACAAAGAGAGATAATATTTTGAGGCCACTAATTTTTGGGGTTAAAATATTGTTTGGAATGGATGTTGGAGCACATGTGAAATGGGCATGCCTGTATGTAACATTAGAATCTGTATTATTAACTGACTATTTAATTTTCCAGTAAGATGATAGGTACTTGTGACATGAAACTAATTGGAATACTTTTATTTTTAAGGTCGGGCGATTTGAGATTAACCTTATCAGTCCAGACACTAAATCAGTTGTGCTAGAAAAGAATTTTAAAGACATCTCCTCTTGTTCTCAGGTATGTATAATAGAGTATTACAGTATTTGAAGAAGCCAATTAAATTTTATTTCAGAATTAAGCACAAAAATAACTTCTTGAACCTCTTCAAATTTTAATATTTAAAAAAAATTTTATTTTATTTTTTGTGGAGAATTTGTCTCAAACTGAGTGCTCATATGCTTGTGTATGCCAGTAACAAAATTCTGTCTAGGTCCCTTAGTATCTATCATAACCATTGGTTTTCATTTTAGTCAACTCTTTCTTCATAATGCCACTTCATCAAATCCCTTACACCGATGGAATTTTTGTGGTGGTGAGCCACCGCTTTTGAAAATACCTTCACAGTTGATGTTCCTCAGAATCTTGGGCCGTGGGACTTGTGGGTGTGGCTGAGTCATGTTTGCTCTTTATACCATAGTGGGTATAAAAGGAGAACTAGTAGTTTCAACGTATTTTAATGTGAAAGGTCAACTTGGAAAAGAAAATTTTGATATCTTTGTTCTTTTATTTATTTTTTAATTCACAAGCTATGTGTTTAAATGTTTTTTTTTAAATGATCAGCCAGGAGCGGTGGCTCATGCTTGTAATCCCAGCACTTTGGGGGACTGAGGTGAGAGGACTGCCTGAGCCCAGGGGTTTGAGACCAGCCTGGGCAACTTGGCAAGACCTTGTCTCTACAGTTAAAAAAAAAAAATTAGCCAGATGTGGTGGTGCACACCTGTAATTCTAGCTACTTGGAAGGCTGAAGCAGAAAGAATCCCCTGAGCCCAGCAAGCCGAGGCTACAGTGACCATGAGCATGCCACTGTACTTCAACCTGGGCAACAGAGTGAGATTCCAACTCAAAAAAAAAGTTTTTTTAAATGTTGAGCATAGCCAAATATGTACAAGGTTATATTAGGCATAAACTAGTGTCCTAAGGACCATAGTAATAATTTAGAATGTCTATCCAAAAGTTAGAGCTACCTAAATATGTTGTAAATATAGAAAGAATTTTTGAAGATGTCAGAATAGATGGAATATCTAAATCTAAATGAAAGAAGGTTAAAAATATGTACCCCTGAGGAGTTTCCTGGAATTGAGAATTCTCTTCTTTTCTAGCCTGGTGACTTAATGTACCTTCAAGGAGCTGGATCTTGCTGAGGTCACTACTTATATTTTAATGTTGAAAAATCATGACTTCATTGCTTTTTTTCTTATTTTCTTTCTTTTTAAAATTTTAGTGTTAGCATTATCATATTAGGCATGATATTCAGATGGCCTTCCCTTTTGAGATTGACAGAAGAGTTTTCCTATATTTTGTCAATTGTCTTCTTCAACTGGATAAAAAAAATGTGGTACATCTACATGATGGAATATTATGCAGTCATAAAGAAGGACAGAATTATGGACTTTGCAACTTGAATGGGTTTAGAATCTATCATACTCAGTGATCTATCACAGAAACAAAGAACTGAGTACCACATGTTCTCACTCAAAAGTGAGTCCTGACATTTATCGCAGTACTACAAGAAAGGGATTGGTAGTAGTGGGACACCACTGGGAGAGGTGCATATAGCATCGCCAGTCACCATCACTAATCCTAAACCAGGTGAAGTGAGTACCAGTGAGAGGCCCAAACTTCACCTGTTTAGACCACTTATGTACCTAATTCTGACTTGTACCCCACATCTATTTTTTTAAATGTTTTCTTCAGACTCAGCTAACATGGTTCACTTCTAATATTTTGTTTTGTTTATTTTATTTGTTGTAGAGATAGCATCTTGCTATATTGCCCAGGCTGATCTTGAACTCCTGGGCGCAAGCAAACCTCTTACCTTGGCCTTCCAAAGTGCTGGGATTACGAGCATGAGCCATCGTGTCTGGCCCACTTCTAATATTTTAATATATTTTTTATTATGTGGAGACATAGAATTATGTTGTATGGATAAAGTTTTTTTACTCTAATAACTTAGAGTGTGACAGAGTTGAATAAAGAAGGAATATATTGCAAATTTCTAAATTTCTCTTTAATGGGCACAGAAATTTGGTAGAAAGATTACTTACTTTAATTGAAAAGCATGTATTAAGCATTCTTACGGTTACCAGTTTCCTGGCAGTCACCACAAGATCATAAGTACTCTGAGGACAGGTGTCTAATATGCTGTGCTGTCTTATTCTGTAGGGCATCAGAATCAGATGTGCTAAGATACTTGACCCTGAGGTGTTCAATACACGTTGAATGAATGAGCACTTTTCACATGTTGTACCTTGTGCCAAATACTGGAGAGAAATCGATGTGTGAACCAAATGTAGATCTAGTCCCTCAGAGCACCTTTGAAAACTGTTTCTCCCACTGCACACTCCCCAAGCCTCCCAGTAAGAAAACTTGCCATGCTTATTGAGCATCCAAATTTAAAAAAAGAAAGAAAGAAATAGAAAAAAGAACGAGCCAAACCAAATATACACAATTGGAAGTTTAAGTCAAGTATCATGGTTCACACTTGTACCCCCAGTACTTTGGGAAGCCAAGGCAGGTGAATTGCCTGAGCACAGAAGTTTGAGACCAGCCTGGGTAATATAGCGAAATCTCATTAAAAAAAAAAATTAGGAATGATGGAGCATGCTCGTAGTCCCAGCTACTTGGATGCTAAAGTGGAAGGATCGCCTGAGCCCAGGAGGCAGAGGCTGCTGTGACCCATGATCATTGTTATCATGCCACTGCACTCCAGCCTAGGAGACAGAGTGAGATACTGACTCAAAAGAATAAAATAAAATAAAATAAAATAATAAAATGAAATAAAAATCTTCAAATATGATTTTTGCTTTTCTTTTTTTAAGGCAAGTTTTGTATTCTGATATTCTGGTTCAGAAAAAGAATTAAACAAAAGCATGAGGAAAATTTGTGGAAAGGCTTTTTTTTCATCAGAAAAATTGTCAGGTTAACCGTCTTCTCCTCACTGAGTTTCCATGGTCTTATTATTTCTTTCCACAGAATTGAACTGATATTAATATAATGTGATTATATTCAGGAATAGCCTGCTTTTTCAACTGTACACCTACAAATGTTTCTTTCTTCTAAATCTGTAGAACTGTTTGCCTGGCAAGCATGGAGAGTAAGGGAGTGGTTGTCTTTCCTGGAAACATTGGCATTGCCTGAGGACTTGCTGAGCTAAGAAGGCCCTATGAATTTTTCCCACTTAGTACTAAGCTAGTGAAAGGTATTCTTCAGGCCGGCATGGTGGCTCATGCCTATAATTCCAGCACTTTTGGAGGCAGAGGTGAGAGGGTTGCCTGAGCCCACAGGCTCGAGATCAACCCAGGCAATTTGGTGAGACCTCATCTCTACAATAAATCAAAAAAATTAGCTGGGCATGGTGGTGTGTACCTGTAGTTCCAGCTACTTGGAAGGTTAAGGCAGAAGGATCACCTGAGCCCAGCAGGTCGAGGCTACGATGGCCATGAGCGTACTACTGCACTCCAGCCTAGGCAGCAGAGACTCCAACTTAAAAAACAAACAAACAAACAAAAAATACTCGGTAGCTCAGCCTATAATCCCAGCATTTTGGGAAGCCGAAGTCAGTGGATTGCCTGAGCCCGCAGGCTTGAGACCAGTCCAGGCAACTTGGTGAGACCTCATCTCTACAATAAGTCAAAATTTAGCTGGACGTGGTAGCGCACACCTGCAGTTCCGGCTACTTGGAAGGCTGAGGCAGAAGAATCGCTGGTGCCCAGCAGGTTGACGCTGGGGTGGCCGTGAGTGTGCCATTGCACTCCACCCTGGGTGATGGAGTGAGACTCCAACTCAAAAAAAAAAAAGAAAAAGGTATTCTTCAATCACTATTTAGTCGTATCAGATGGATCCCAGTGTGGCTGGAGTGGAAAGAGTGAGAAGGAAGTGAAGCAGGACATAAAGTCAGAGAAAATGAGATGAGAAGCCAGGCACAGTGGCTCACACCTATAATCCCAGAATTTTGGGAGGCCGAGGTGAGAGGATTGCCTGAGCCCACGGGTTCGAGACCAGCCTGGGAAGCTTGGCAAGACATCATCTCTACAATAAATCAAAAAGTTAACTGGGCATGGTGGCATGTGCTTGTAGTTGCAGCTACTTGGAGGGCTGAGGTGGAAGGATCGCCTGAGCCCAACAGGTTGAGGCTGCGGTGGCCAGGAGCGTGTCATTGCCCGCCAGCCTAGGTGACAGAGTGAGACTCCAACTCAAAAAAAAAAAAAAAAAGGAAAAGAAAACGAGACGAGACTGGAAAGATTAAAATTCAGGTTGATTATGTCAAGTTCATGAAGGATTTGTAGTCACAATGCAAATGTAATCTGTATGTATGTTATATGTGGGTGGCTTATTTTCATTTCATGAATTGCCACCTCACTCCTCCTTACTGACTTTCTTTTTTACCAGAGTTGATATCCTTTTTCTTTATCTATTGTATAGGTTGAGTTTATTCTAACAAAAGTAGTGGTTACTATTTATCAAACATTCTAGAACTATATTTTTTAGTTCTAAATCTCAAGCATTCCTGACAACAGATACTGTTTCTACTGTTTTATAATGAGAAGTGGGTCCTTGAAGATAATTATTAGCAACCCAGCACAGTGTCTCATACCTAGCAGATTAATGGAACCAAGATGCAAGCACAGATTTGACTTCAAAGCCTGTTTTTTTTTTTTTTTTTGTTCACCCACTTGGGTTTAGATGATTTCAGGACAATTTAAAATTTTTTGTCTACTCAGCTTTTCAAAGTACTGTGCATGCTGTTAAGGTGTTGTTTACTTACCTTAACAAGTATGTATGTATTGAGACTAAATGAAAGTCACAAATGATTCTGAATTTAGTATTTATATTTAAATAGCTGAGGTTATTTTGCCTGGGCACAGGAAGTATAATGATTTGTTAATATGGTTAATAAGCACCTGCACTATTTATTTATTTATTGTGAGTCAAGCTCTCACTTTGTCATCTGGACTGGAGTGTAGTGGTACTCTCATGGTTCACCGTAGCCTTGACCTCCTGGGAGAAAGCCTTCTACTCAGCCTCCCAAGTAGCTGGAACTACAGGTGTGTGCCACCATGGCCAACAAATTTTTTGATTTTTTTGGCCCTAAGTGCTGGGATTACAGGTACATGCCACCACGCCCTGCTAACATATTAGTCTTTTTAACAGCGTAGCTCCTTCAGTGTCTATAAATAGACAAATATTCTAGTATTCTATATACTTTAGGGTATTGCATCCCTTACTCTCTAATTTTTCTCAGATTCTTAGCCTCGCATAGACAAACAGAGTTTATGACAAATCATCAGACTGCCATTCTAAGAAGGCAATACGTCAAAAGCTCCATTACTTGCAGTTTTACTACAAGATAAAGTGGATCATACCATCAATATTTTTCCTCCTGGGGCCCTGAGTCACAGAGTGTTTATCAGAAACAAAACAACCTGAGTTGGTTTCACCTTTTATTTTATTTATTGTTATTTGTTCTTTTTGAGTTGGATTCTCTTTCTCACTCTGTTGCCCAGGCTGGAGTGAAGTGGCATGATCACGGCCACCACAGCCTTGACCTGCTAGTCTCAGGTGATCCCTCTGCCTCAGTCTTCCAAGTAGTTGGAACCACAGGCATGTGCCACCATGCTTGGTAATTTTTTTTTTTTTAATTATAGAGACGAGGCCTTGCCATATTGCTCAGGCTGGGCTCAAACCCCTGAGCTCAGGCAATCTTCTCACAGCTGCCTCCCAACGTGCTGGGATTACAAGCATGAACCACCGCGCCCAGTTTACCCTTTGTTTTATGTATCAGCAGGCTGCTGTGTAAGTTTGCCATGATGTTATGTACCACCTCTGTTGCTGTGAAGGAGAACTCTAAAAGCATAGAACTGACGTTGATTTCTGTATTGTTGACTAAAGGGACCTATTTCCATAAATCCTGTGTTGCACTTCTTTCCCTCCATCTAGGGTATCAAGCATGTGGATCACTTCGGCTTCATTTGTCGGGAGTCTCCAGAGCCTGGACTGAGCCAGTACATTTGTTACGTGTTCCAGTGTGCCAGCGAATCTCTGGTGAGTGATGTTATTGCTTTCACTGTGCTCCTGCCAACACACTCATCCAGCAGAGGACTGTCTTTTATGAACCGAAGCCTTGCAAGATGGCTATCAGTGGGAAAATGTGTTTGCCTTCCAAGCAGCACAATAACAGTAGAAAAACAAAAACAAATTGTCACAGTGATGTTTAAGCCTAGATACTTTCTTGGATTTAACAAACCTAGTCACCTAACCATGAGTATTTTTAAAAGGTAGGAAGAGACTATTAGTAGGAGAAAAGCAGTTACTTTTTCCATTGCTCCTATGAGGAGATAAGGAAGGCCACTGGCCTTTTATTTCCTTAATTGCTGTAACATATCAGAGTATTTGCTTGTATAATATATATAATGCTGGCCGAGTGAGGTGGCTCATGCCTGTAATCCCTGTACTTTGGGAGGCGGAGGCAAGATTGACTGAATTTAGGGATTTGAGACCAGCCTGGGCAACTTGGTGAGACCTCGTCTCTGCAATTAAATTAACTGGACGTGATGGCACATGCCTGTGGTTCCAGCTATTGGAAGGCTGAGGTGAAAGGATCACCTAAACCCAGTAGGTCGAGGCTGCCATGGCCTTGAGCATGCCACTGCACTCCATCCTGGGCAACAGAGTGAGACTCCGATTCTAATAATAATATAATATATAAAAATGCTTATATTAACAGTGTGGAGAACTCATTTTGTTGTTTTCCTTTGTTTCATTAGCTTCTGTCTTCATTTTAAATGCTTTATTCTTTGTTTACTTTAACCTTTATTTACTTTCTTTGGAACTTTAAAGTAAATTCTTCTCTCCAACATTACCCCTCTCATAGCCTCTATTATGGAGACAATTGAAATTTGAAAGGAAATATGTAACACTGACTTGGAAATAACGTCCAAGTGGCTAAAAAATATGTTGATTTCCCCCCCAAAGTTTTTGCTTTTTCTTCTACTTGTGCTATCTTCCCTAATTATTTTTATCATAAACTTTCAGATATATACATCACCATTTTTTGAAAAGTTTACAGATGCACAGAAACAAAGAACTGAGTATCACATGTTCTCACTCATAAGTGGATCTTGAACAACTATTGTAATACTTTAAGAAAAGGATTGGCAGTAGTGGGAAATTGCTGGGAGCGGGATGGAGGGTGGGGGAGTAGGACTGGCAGTAATGGAAACTGCCTGGGGGGGGCACACCTCATCAACAAGGGTACCCGCATAATGAACATTTGTGTACCTAACCTTGAATTCTACCCCACATCTTTAAAATTTAAAAAAAAGGAAAAAAAAAGAAAAGTTTACAGACAAGTATTTTCTGTTACATATCATACCCCAACAGCATTTCTCCCAGAGAAGCACATACGACTTAGACTTATGTGGATCAGCCGGGCAACCTTGTTCTTGTGTCTGTGGTGCATGTTACAGTCCTCTCTGCTTGATTCTCGTCTTTCCCACTCGCAGCATGGACAGTGGTCAGGAATAATGAAGTTAGTGTGAAAGGTACAAAGGCACTTTTTTTGACTAGCGCCCTCTGGGTCTCCACCTTTTTCTCTAGTGAATGTAAAACTCCCATCACTAACAAGTTTCCTTTTCTAGAGAGGCCCATATAAGTTTCTTTCTCCCTCTAAATGATTAACCATACTGATGTAGTAGCCACATGTTGCTATCCAGGTGGTCATTACTAAATAGGTTCCATTTAGGGTTCAAGGTAGAAATTTGAGGTTTTCATTACGTAGTGATAGTTGAAAGTATAGGGCAGATGAACACCTGAGGGAAGAAAGAGAAAGAGAGCCCAGAAAACCAGTGACACTACCAACCAATTAAGAGTTTGGTGGAAAAGGGTATTGTAGGAACTTATTCCAGTGCACACCCATTCTCCACCCAGCCCCTGCCCTGCTCACGCCTCACTCCTTCCATTCTCCGTCCCTCCACCTGTCTAGGGCTGATCCTTCTGCATACTGTGTTCTGGATCCCTTACTCTTTTACCTTTCCAAAACCTATAAAACAGACATCCCATATGTATATTTTGGCAGCACTATGTACCTAATGTCCCATTTAGGAACTCAAATGCATTCTCTTTCACCTCCTATATTGGTTGTTCACCAAATCTTATTGACTTGAAGACAGAAATATCTCTTACTCATTTCTCCTCCTTTTCTTTTTTGCTCCCTGATCTGGACATTCATCCTGTTTGCTTGAACTCTTGTATTAATGTCATAACAAATCTCTTTGCCACTGGTTTAATCTCCCATCTCTTCCTTTTCTACATTATAGTAGAGTTTTATTTCTCACAAAATTTCTATATCAGAATCTGGTTTATGCCTCACTATTAAGGGACAAAATCTAGATGGTCTAGAATGCAGCAGGGCTGTGTTCATTCTCCAGCTCCTCTGCTGTTGTTCTGCACTTAGACCGGAATGCCGTGCCCTTTCATGACTGGGTTCACACATGCTGTTCCATCTCACAAGCTGTTCTCTGGGCCAGACCACAAAGGCTGGTTTGATGGTTGGTGTGATAGTGCTTTTGGTTTGGTTTGCTGCTGAAGCCAGCCAGTGATTAGTGTGTGGGACCTAAGGACTTAGGTGAGCGTCTGCAGCTCCCTGAAAGCCCTCATTGCTCACAAATGCAGCAGGTTAGTTATTTAAAAAAATGTTTACAGCATGAGATCAAGGACTTATGTGAGTGGCAGCAGCTCTCTTAAGGCCTTTTGTGCCTCACAGCAGTGCAACTGAAACTCAGAGGTCACTGCTCATGGCACGGATGAGGAGGATGCAAAGACCAGGGCTTGCTGCCTTTCATACTGCCAGGCTGGGAAGGGGACCGTGTCAGCCTCAAGGGCTCACCCTGTTACTAAACAAGGAGATTGGGCAGTTTTTTAGTTAACCTCTTTTTACATGCTCTTTCTTACTGCTCCATTGGACATAAAACAGGCCTGGCCCAGCTCTGCTATATTCTGAGTACCCTTCCCTTCCTTTTCTACTATGTGTTTTTCAGGACCCAGCTTGAATATCACATCCTACTAAAGCCATTCCTAACAACTTTTTCCTAGGAGTCAACTTGTCACCAGTGCTCTCACTATACCTTGTCCTAGGTTTCCGACAGTTTCTGCCATCCCACATTCACTTATCTGTTTATATAGCCATCTACTAGATTATGAATTTCACACATTTAGGACCATCTCTTATTCATGTTGTGTCCCAAGGTTTCTAGGATAGCAGGGGCTGGACAGTTTTGTATTTTGAGTGATTGAAATGACTGCATTCCTCTTAACTTCAAGCAGTCATTTTCTAGGTGCTGGTTAATCTCTGAATCTCTGATCACTGGATAACTTGCACAGACGGGAAAGCTATGTGCAACTTTCTTATTTCTAATCTCCTTTACAGGTTTTGTTTTGTTTTTAGTATTTTCATTATGCCCTCATGCATGTAGAATGAGTTTTGGACAGAGAATCACAGTAGAAAGTCTGGGGACAGGCTGCATTTTTCCATCACGCCCTGTGACTAAGGCAACAGACCAGACTGGCTGTGAATGCCTTCCTATTACTTGATACTGTGTCAGAATCTGAGTTTTGGCATCATTATTCTTAAGAACATGCCTGTACTAGGATTTTTTAAATCTTGTTTAATTTTATCAGTTAAGCATCTTAACTGAATGGTGGGACATCAGAACTTCAAACTAGAAGAAAAATTAAATGTAAATTTCCTGCATAATAGAGGACAGCTTAAGCAGCTGACATACAGAACAAAGCAAAATAGTCAATTAAATATTATCCGTCTAAGCAGTGTTAGGACTGATGTGGTTTGTGTAAGATAAGTATTGCAAAACCACACATGCTGACTTATCTTCTCTGAGTACCAAGAATACAGTTAGCATTTTTTCTTTTGCTTCCTTGTAACAATTGCTGTGAATTTGTAAATAGTATATGTTCCAATGGTCCCTGGAGGGTTACACTGGAGGTTTAGATGCTTAGTTTTCCCTCCCTCCCTCCCTCCTTTCTTCCTTCCTTTCTTTTCTTCTTTCTATAGCTGTAGGCAGGCAGCTTAATTTTGTTTAACCAATTCTTGAGACTTGTAGAAAATATCATTTCTTTAAAAGTACTTTTTCCAAAATTGGTTTGAAGAGTATGAAAAAAATGCAGGTAACTGTTACTTATAGATGAAGAAAAAGTAAACTCCACAGATACAGACAAAATTATTCAGGGAATGTATAATCAAAAGAAAAAAAAAAGACAGAAGCTACCTGAAATACAGAATTTGCATGGGGCAAATAGTTAATGCAATAAGCAGTAGTGTTTCATTAGAAATGAAATATTAGCATATTTATAAAAGAGTAATGTACAAAGTCTAGGAAGTTATCTTTCTCTTACATCTGGTGTTGAGTATACTTGTAAAAGTAAATCTATAGCAATTTAAGAATTAAGCACCTGGGCAACTTGGCGAGACATCATCTCTACAATAAATCAAAAATTAGTCGGGCGTGGTAGCGTGCGCCTGTAGTTCCAGCTACTTGGAAGGCTGAGGCGGAAGGATTGCTGGAGCCCAGCAGGTCGAGTCTGCGGTGGCCGAGAGCGTGCCACTGCATTCCAGTCTGGGCGACAGAGTGAGACTCCAACTCAAAAAAAAAAAAAAAAAAGAATCAAGCAAAGTGCGGAGGTAAAGAGACAAGTTCAGATTTGGCATCTGCATTTTTACATAGTAAGGAAAAGTTACAGATGTTTCAGAGAAGAGCAGTAAACTGTGAAGGAAGTTCCTCATCTGAAGAAAAATGAATGTGATTGGCATCATTTAGCTTAGGACGAAGAAGTATAGGACTTGACTTGAGGCAAATGGACTTAAAGTGAGAATTTATATAACTATAGAATGTGATAAATGGGCTTAAAATCTAGCAAATGTGGTCTACTTCAGTTAGATGCTGAAGTAGACCACTACCTTGTTGTTGACAGTTGTTAAAATAGGATCGATGCTATTCTTTATTGGATAGTTTGAAATTTTAAATTTTTCCAGAGGCTTAGACTAGATAATCTCTTGAAGTTCTTATACATCCTGTGATTCTTAGACTTACTGTAAAATGTTAAAAATACCTAAATCTGGTATATACTGTATTTATGAGCATTGTCTTCATTATGTATTTTCCTCCTGATATCATAAATTGGCCATCTTTGTTACATCTGTGCTTTTTTACTGAGAATTTAATTTTGCCTGATGGTAATACCAGGAATAGTTACTTACTTTCTTTTTGTTTGCATATAATTCATTTATTTTTGTCCACTCCTTTGCTTTTAGCCTTTTGACATGACCTGTGATTTTTGTCGTTGATGTCGTATCTAGACTAAAATAATTAAGTTATTTATGGTGCATTAATTTGAACTTTAGTTGCACTGATCCGACAATATAATTTATAGTTCAACTGGAAAAAGTGGTGGATTTTAGAAAAGAAAACATTTATCATTTTAAAAGTCAAAAGTAGTTTTTAGTAATATTTGTGGCCAAGAGAAGTTGACAGCCACATTTTAGACACCATTGAAATGACCTATTGTTTCATCTAAGAATACGGAAAGAAACATCAAAGTTCAACATTTCTGCTAGAAATCTGTTACAAGGCAGTATTATTAAATAAAAAAATAACCTGTATGAACGCTATTTATATTACTAGCAGATGACTAACCTCTTTAGTGTCTTAAATAAATGAGAAACAAGAAAATAGAAATAAATGAATATCTGCATAAATCAAATAACAAGGCAAATGAAATAAAAATGTAAAGGCATTAAACATGTAAGACTCTTATTTCCAAGAATTATAAATCCTTATATATATATTTTTGGTCAGTGTAAAATAATGTATTTTCTGAAAAATTCATGTTTATTCACAGAATGATATGGAATTATTCATAAGCCTTGTTAAGTTTGGTAATATACTAAAACATACTTGAATAATGGCTGACTGCTTAGTGTTAGATATCAGTAATATTAGAAAAGTAAAGTTTCTTTTTATTCCTGGTCCCTCATACATTCAAATACAGAAGTAGATTAAATTCCATAAACAACTTCTTCTTTTTTTTTTTTTTGAGTTGGAGTCTCACTTAATCACCCAGACTGGAGTACAGTGACACACATATGGCCACTGCAGCCTTGACCTGCTGGGTTCAAGAGATCCGTCTCAGCCTTCCAAGGGGCTGGAACCACAGGCATGCACCACCATGCCTAGTTAATTTATTTATTTACTTTTTTTGATTTATTGTAGAGATGAGGTCTCGCCAAATTGCCCAGGCTGATCTCAAATCCATGGGCTCAGACAGTCCTCTCACCTCGCCTTTCAAAGTGCTGAGATTATAGGCGTGAGCCACCATGCCCTGTCCAATAACTTGTTCTTAAACCGGGTCATCGGGGAAGGGGGGAAAAAGAGAATAAAAACATCGTTTAGCCATGGTAAATGATTTTGAATATTAAAGCTGGTTCAGATGAGGCCCTAATACTAAATAAGTGTGCTGTGCAGGTTTTATAATTTGATCTAAGTTCTACAGAGTGTGGGAAAACCACACCTTACGTTGGTTATTATATCACAGAAAACAAGATGAAACTTGAAACTCATCTCAACAATCCCTGAGGATGAGCTGATAGTTGGTTTCAAAGAAGCAATGGGGAAACTTGAAGGCTAGATTCAAACTTCTTGACTGGGTCCGTAGAAGAGCAAGAAAGAAATAGCTGACCCTTTGCAAGCAGCTGGCCTAGTAGAGAGACCTAGCTATTAGAAACCACAATGTCAGGACTTCTCAGTGTCACAAATCAGAAAAGGAATGATAATTAGTCTGAAGCTGTAGCAATACGACCAGCAATGTTCCTAGGCTTTCCCCAACATTAGTCAAATGAAACTATTTTTTCCAGGACCTAAACATGTTTTGTTTGTTTTTACACTAAAGTAACACAGAAGAATAAAGTAAATAGGATACCTATTAACAAAAGTGAATGTTGAACCAATTTTATTGCTTCCTATATATGACAGACAAAACTTCCAAAGGGCTGTTTATCTGAAGAGCCATTTAATTAACAAAGATCGGATTGACTAATTAAATTGTCTGTGATAGCATAGCCCTCGGTGGGATTTGAAAATAGCATTCAAGTAACTGATCAGTATTATATTACACACATCGAAATGGTCTTATTTCATCCAGCTTTCAATTTTGTGTATGAAAGTTATAACTCAATATTTTCTCTCTGCCAGCTCTGTAGTCATCAAAATTCTATTATTTAATCAGCATCAACAAAGACGCACATTGCTGTTGAGTTTTTAATGTTACCATGAAAGCCAACTTTTGTAGACCTGAGTTTTGTTTCTTCTTGTAGGTTGATGAGGTAATGCTGACTCTGAAACAGGCTTTCAGTATGGCCGCTGCCCTGCAGAGTGCCAAGACCCAGATTAAGCTGTGTGAGGCCTGCCCTATGCACTCTTTGCATAAGCTCTGTGAAAGGATTGAAGGTACAGTATAACGTGGCCTTGGCAAAAGACGAGTTTGCTTTGGCATTTGGGCAATGAGAAAGTCCCTGCTGTCACTGAATAGTTCTTTGTTTCTATTGAAACAAGAGCCCAAAGAATCATTTCTCATGTCCACTCAAATTTGAGTGTGCTGTCAGTCTCTGCTAGGTGCTTGACTTTCTCTCTCTGTCTTTCCCTCGCGCTCTCTTTTTTTCTGAAGGTAAACTCAAAGAAGGGACTTGTATTTCCCACAGTTCTCAAGACTCTGCTATGTACATAGTGAGAACTGATCAAATACTTGTTGAATGAAGAGAGACAAAACCATCACAGAATGTCTACTGTTTATTGTCCCCTCTTCCTCGATGATATGTTTCCTTCCTAAAAGTGTAGAACTATTGTGAAGCTTACTTGGCTTCTGAAGGACGTTTGGGAATGACAGATAATAGAACTGATATTGTGAAGCAGTTAAAAAATATATATGTTCTGAGTAGGAGGGAGGGGCATGAGGAAGAGGTGAACCTGCGACTCAACCTCCCTTTCTTCTTGTTATCTCTCACTAACAAAAAGATTGATAAGTACTTCACAAGAGAAGAAACACAATTTAATCAGCAGTTTTTAAGTGTCTACATTCCAGACTAAGCAATGTACTAGATATTAGGGATACAGAATTGATAGAGACATGGACTATGCCTCCAGAAAGACTACAGTCTTTCTGGACAAAGAAATGCTATCCAGTATGATATGTGTTGACACAGTTGGGAAGAGTTGGAATTATTCATAAACAGAGCAGAGGATGGTCTAGTTCATTGTAAATACAAATTGTGATTTCTGTTCAGTAGGCAGCAGAATCTTATACAATCTTAATCAGTAGTGAATAGCAGTTTTTATTGAATGTTCACACAACTATGTGATCAAGGACTATTACAATGTGATATTCAGATTTAAACATTTATAATTATAATTTTGCAGAATGCACACATATGAAGCATTTACAAAAATAGAACTTTTTTTGGTGTATAGTAAAGAGAGCATTATAAATCTTTTTTTTTTTTTTTTTTGAGTCAGAATCTCACTCTGTTGCCCAGGCTGGAGTGCAGTGGTATACTCACGGCCTCTGCAGCACCTACCGGCTGGGATCAAGTGATCCTTCCACCTCTGCCTTCCAAGTAGCTGGAACTACAGGCGTGTGCCACCACACCCAGATAATTTTTTTTTATTTATTGTAGAGACGAGGTTTCAGCAAGTTGCCCAGACTGGTCTTGAATCCCTGGGCTAAGGCAATCCTCTTGCCTCCACCTCCCAAAATGCTGGGATTACAGACGTGAGCCACCGCACCCGGCTAAGCATTATAGATCTTTATTTGGGAGGGCTGAATTATTCAGAAGATGTGTTAGATCAATTAGCTATACAAAAGAAGAGAGATTTGTTATACACATCCTATTCCATATACATTCTTGTATATGGAAAGTCCTCAGTGTAAGCCAACGAAATATTAAAATCATTAAAAGAAAACAAGAAAAGTATTTGTATTCCTTAAAGAGGGCTTTATTAAGACACAAAAATGCACTTCCTTTTTCCTCTTCCAGGGATGCTGTATAAAAGCACTCAGAATGGTCTAGCATTTGACATACCATCGTAGGCTTTCTTGCAATATAGCCTCTAACAAAACGAGTTTGTCCCAAACCCCTGGTAATAGGATTGTTTACCTATATACCAAGAAGGTTGGGAAAACATCAAAGTCTGCATGTGGTGTATGCCCAGGCAGACTTCGAGGGATTCATGCTGTGAGACCTAAAGTTCTTATGAGGTTGTCCAAAACACAAAAACATGTCAGTAGGGCCTATGGTGGTTCTATGTATGCAAAATGTGTTTGTGGCAGGATCAAGCATGCTTTTCTTATCAAGGAACAGAAAATTGTTGTGAAAGTTTTGAGGGCACAAGCACAGAGTCAGAAAGCAAAATAAAGAAATTAAGCTTTTTTTTCTGTAATAAAAAGGCAAAAATGCAAAAAATATTTAAAGACACTGATAGATTTGATTTTATGAAAATTTAAAGCATTCACATAACAATAGCTGTTCATTTGGAAGTTATATAAGTAACAAGCAAGATAGCAGATTGGCATCAAGAATTTGTAAGAACTTTAACCTTTACAAAAAGATTATACCACCCAGTGTGAAATTCCAGAAGTCATATTAAAAAAAAACACTTCTCAGCTGGGTGCAGTGACTCATACCTGTAATCCCAGCACTTTGGGAGACGGAGGTGAGAATTGCCTGAGTCCAGGGACTCAAGACCAGCCTGGGCAACTTGATGAGCCCTCATCTCTACAATAAGTCAAAAAATTAGTTGGGCATGGTGGCACACGCCTGTGGTTATAGCTATTGAAAGACTGATGTGGGACCGGGCCCGGTGGCTCAGCCTGTAATCCCACGCTTTGGAGACCAAAGTGAGTGAATTGCCTGAGCCTGCAGGTTCGAGACCCGCCTGGGCAACTTGGCGAGACCTCATCTCTACAATAAATAAGAAATTAGCTGGGCATGGTAGCATGTGCCTATAGTTCCAGCTACTTGGAAGGCTGAGGCGGAAGGATCTCCGGTGCCCAGCAGGTCAAGGCTGTGGTGGCTGGGAGTGGCCACTGCACTCTAGTGTGGGTGACAGAGTGAGACTCCAACTCAAAAAAAAAAAAAGAAAGGCTGAGGTGGAAGGATCACCTGAACCCAGCAGGTCAAGACTCTGGTGGCCTTGAGCTTGCCACTGCACTCCAGCCTGGGCGACAAGGTGAGACTCCTACTCAAAAAAAGTTGCACTAATGAAAAAGAGAAGATGCTGAACCTCACTAGATGCCAGAGAAATAAAAATGAAGACAATAAGATACTAATTGCATTAACTGTCTGAGAAACTGTAGCGATATAATAATATTAATGTATTTATATAATACTGATGGGTACATAAATTGATAGAGTCATTTAGGGGACAATTAATATAACTCATTAATCTAAAATTGTACATACTCTGTAACTAGAAATTCCATGTCTTGATAAGAGAAACTCTTAAATAAGTACAGAAAGTAACATTTTCAAGGTTGTGGGTTTTTTTGTAAATAATGGAAAATTAGAAAAACCTAAATGTCTGTCAACAGCATAATTGAAAGTATGCTCATAAAATTAAGCAATTAATGGGAATAAATTGCAACTCAATGTCAACACGAACACATCTTAAAATTATATTGTTGAATAAAAAATAATTTGCTGAGTAACATGAACAGTATATATATGGTATATCTGGAAAACTACATGGGATAATACCATATATTTCTTTTTTAAAAACCAACTTTGACCTACTTTGAGATTTATGGAAAAGTTGCAGGAGTTTTCAAATATTCCTTTTCCATCTTTCTCCATTCTTAACTTTTTATATAGCCATGGTCCAATTATCAGAACAGGAAATTAATATTGGTTCAATGATATTATCCAAACTAAATATTTCATTTGTTCTTCACTAGTTTTCTCATGAATCTTTTTTTTTTTTTGAGTTGGAGTCTTACTCTGCCGCCCAGACTGGAGTGCAGTGGCCGCTCCCGGCCACCGCAGCCTCGACCTGCTGGGCTCCGGTGATCCTTTCACCTCAACCTTCCAAGTAGCTGGAATTACAGGCACGTGCTACTACGCCCAGCTGATTTTTTGATTTATTGTAGAGATGAGGTCTCGTCAAGTTGCCCAGGCGGGTCTCGAACCCACAGGCTCAGGCAATTCACTTGCCTCGGCCTCTCAAGGTGCTGGGATTACAGGCTGAGCCACCGAGCCAGCCCTTTTTGAATTTTATGTTTCAAATCATACACTATAAAAATAAGTCAGATCTCTGTTGGTAAAGCTAACAACAAAAGTATCCTGAATTGTACCCCACATTAAAAAAAAAAAAACAACAGAGAAGTAAATAAACATCTTTATGTTTCTGTTTTTGGGGCTATTTTATTTTTTTGAGACAGATTCTCGCTCTGTTGCCTAGGCTGGAATGCAGTGGTTCTACTATGATTTAAGTCCAACTCCTGGACTTAAGCGATTCTCCCACCTCAGCCTCCCAAGTAGCTGGGACTACAGTGCATACCAGCACACTCAGCTCCACTTATATATATATATATATTTTTTTTTGTAGTCTCACTCTTGCTGCCCAGGCTGGAGTGCAGTGGCACGCTCATGGCCACCGCAGTCTCGACCTGCAGAGCTTAGGCGGTCCTTCTGTCTCAACCTTCCAAGTAGCTGGAACTACAGACGCACACCACCACATCCAGCTAGTTAAAAATATTTTTTAGAGACAGGTTCTCACTATGTTCCACAGGTTCATCTCAAATCTGTTGTTTAAAAATGGATGGTCACTTGAGTCATTGTAATTGTGAATTAAACTTTATCTTTATTAAAAAAAAATAGGCTGGGCATGGTGGCTCACGCCTATAATCCCAGCACTTTGGGAGGCTGAGGTGAGAGGATTGCTTGAGCCCACAGTTTCGAGACCAGCCTGGGCAACTTGGTGAGACCTCATCTCTACAATAAATAAAAAAATTAGCCAGGCATGATGGTGCATGTCTGTAGATCCAGCTGCTTGGAAGGCTGAGGAGAAGGATCACCTGAGATCAGCAAGTTGAGGCTGCAGTGGCTGTGAGCATGCCACTGCACTCCAGCCTGAGCGACAGAGTGAGATGCCTAAAAAAAAAAAAAAAAAAAAAAAAAAAAATATATATATATATATATATATATATATATATAGGCTGGGTGTGGTGGCTCACGCCTATAATCACAGCACTTTGAGAGGCCGAGATGAGAGGATTGCCTGAGCCCTTGGGTTCGAGAGCAGCCTGGACAACTTGTCGAGACCTTATCCCTACAATGAATCAAAAACTAATTAGCCAGGCATGGTGATGTGTGCCTGTAGTTCCACCTACTTGGAAAACCGAGGCAGAAGGATCACCTGAGCCCAGCTGGCCGAGGCTGCAGTGGTTGTGAGTATGCCATTGCACTCCAGCCTGGATGACAAAGTGAGACTCAACTAAAAATAAATAAATAAATAAATAAATAAAAACAGAAGTGTTTTTATGGAAAAAACTTTTCCTGAGCACTTTATATAAATTATGTGCAAGAACAGAATAGACTTATGAATATCAGAATATAAAGAAGTAAACAATTTGGCAAAATAATAATGCTAAAAGTATTAATGCTAATACTGTCCTTGAAACTTTAGTCCCAGATAATGTGAGACCCCTAAACTATAGTCCTGCCTTGTAATATCATTATAAGGGGAGAGACCCCTAAACTATAGTCCTGCCTTGTAATATCATTAGCTACTTTTTCTTCTTCATATGGCAAGTTGTAGGGTTAGAAATTTTGGCCAGGGCTAGTATTTACTTTTTTATTTCCGTGCCAGGTCCTAGAATAATGTTAATTCATCTGTGAGTTTCTACAGTTGCTGTTTGTTAGTATAAGTGCTATTTGGTCATACTTGGTATCATCTAGAAATTTTTGTAATGGTAACTCCAGGATCACTATAGGGGGCTGTTGATTTTGGTGGAAAGGTTTTTCCTGTAGTCCTAATCATTTCACTGTAGTGTTCCAAGGTTTGTTGTAGGCAGGAACACGTCTCCTTGAGATTTAAATTCAGAGCCTGCTGAGGAAGAGTTGACGTGTAATGCATTATGTACTCCCGCTTTCCACGCCAACTCTATTTAATACTTTCCTTCATCATTTCCCTTAGGTCTCTACCCTCCAAGAGCCAAGCTGGTGATACAGAGGCATCTCTCATCTCTGACAGATAACGAGCAAGCCGACATCTTTGAAAGAGTTCAGGTAACATTATTTGCAGTCTCATAAATAAGATATAAGGAATGAGAATGGGATCCTGTTTTTATGAGTTCCTTTTTTCATTCTACTGCCTGAAGTTAAAGATCTATGTCCTAGAGTACTGTTTGGTAAAACTAGAATGCCATTGTTACTTTTGCTTCTGAGTACAGTTAAAACTCTTAGCTTTATTTATGTTTGTCTGCTAGACAGAATAAAATAAAAGGAGAGAAGCTGTGTTGCCATAATGTGCTCTTGGTTTGTCTGTTCAACAGAAAATGAAGCCAGTCAGTGACCAGGAAGAAAATGAACTTGTGATATTACACCTGAGGCAGCTGTGTGAAGCCAAGCAGAGGACACACATGCACATTGGAGAAGGCCCCTTGGTAAGGAGATATGTCCTCCTTTACCTCTTTATTTGTTTGTTTATGAATTTAGATAAACTATTACCTAAGATGTGAGAGGATACTCTTTCCTTTGTGCTTTCATCTTCTTTAGAGCTAAAGTTTTGTCAGAGGTGTTCCTTCCCCTCCCCTCCAACATTTTAGTAGTTTATGGGAAATTTTAGCAGGCTGTGATGCATTGAGCTAAAATTAAGATGGTTTAAAAGAATGTATGGCTTTTAGTGGAAAAGCAGTGATGACAAATATTCTTGATTTAGAATGGAATTACATTTTTAGTTATATTAATCTATTATTTTATTTTAAATTCATATGAACATTTTATTTCATCAAAAGTTGAGACAAGGCTGGGTGTGGTGCCTCAAACCTGTAATCCCAGCACTTTGAGAGGCCACGGCGAGAGGATTGTCTGAGCTCAGGAGTTCGAGACCAGCCTGAGCAACATGGCAAGACCTCATCTCAACAATAAATCAAAAAATTAGCCAGGCATGGTAGCACATGCCTGTGGTTCCAGCTACTTGGAAGGCTGAGGCAGAAGAATCATCTGGTTGAGGCTGCAGTGGTCGTGAGCATGCCACTGCACTCCAGCCTGGATGACAGAGTGAGACCCTGACTCAAATAATAAATTCAAAAAAGAAAAAAGAAAACCTTCTGTGACCTGGTCATTCTCCAATTGGGAGAATTTTATAATAGAATATTTGAGGAGTAATTTAGTCATTGCACACACCTTTATCAAGTACAGAATACATGTGTGATGAGGGTGACAAGAAAGTCATGAATGAATGATGTTCTCCCTAGAGGAGAGTTCAAATATTTAAAAGGGAAATGCAAACAGATTAATAGAATAAAGTCCATAAGCGCTTTTTAAAATAATTTGTTGTCAGCATAAAAGTAGCTGTGTCTTTCCTTTGGAGCTGGATTAAAGAGTAAGGGTGGAGGGAAGAATTAAATAATTCAAGAGGAATGGAATTGTTGTGGCGTCTGGAAGTTTAGAAGAGAAAGAGTTTGCAATTGGAAAAGTTGAGGAAATGTGTTTTAAGAAAGAAATGTTGGGCACAAAGTTATGTAGTGGTGCGACTACACACTCCATGCAAACATTGGAAGTAGGTGCTGGTTGTTAAGGATATGCTTGCTTGACTACTGGTGGGGAAAACAAGAGTGGAATAGGCAGAAGGGAGATGAGGAAAGGCCTTAAGTGGTGGACTTGACTCTATCGTGGAGGGATTTCAAACAAGGGAGTGAGATCAGATTTGCACTATAAAGAGAGAATTCTACTGTTCTGATGGCAGATTTGTGGGGGAGGTTGGTGGGTCAAAGAATTGAGAGTTCTAGGACTGAAGTCATATTCTCCAGTTAGGAGAATTTTGTGGTAGAATATTTGAGAAGTGATTTAATTATTGCACAGACCTACATACTAGGCAGTGGTGATGGATAACGATGGCTCTTTCCTGCAACCTGTATAGGAGGAAAAACCAACAAGTAATCAAATAAATTAAAACATGATTTGATTGGTATAATGGTATAAGTATGTACAAGTCAGAGGTAGCCCTGATACATAAATAGGTTGAATGATTCTATCTTAAAAAAATTCTTAGACTCAGGGGAGAAGCTGAGCTAGATCCCTGGTACAATGAAGAAGGGACTGAGTTGAAGGGCTGTTTAGGAGGTATAATCATTATTAGTGCTTAGTGACTGACTGAAAGGATCTGTAAATGAAGGGAGAGGAAGTTGCTGGGAACCCTCAGGTTTTCAGATTTGGGAACTGATAAAACAAAAGCAGACTAGAGTGAGGCAAGGGATAAGAATAAAAAGTAAAAGTTCAATTTGGAAATGTGTTTGCAATTCAATTACAAAAATGGATTTGGTGCCTATAGAGGAATTTGAATTGATAGTGTTTGTATATGGAAGACATGAGCTTGGCATAGATTTGAAGTCAAAAAAGGATGTGTGTGAGATGTGCATTTCTTTGTGACGGAGAATGCAAAACATCCTAGAGATTTTAACAGTATTTTAAATTTTCTTGCTAGCAGTTAAGTTTCTTCCTCTATCACTCTCTCCTTTCCTATATTTGTTTCCTGTTATTCAACTGGTATTTACTGAGCAGCTACTATGCGTCAGTATTGTGCTAGGTACCAATACAGTTTCCCTATTTTTGTCATGTCATCCATCTGGAAGCCTTAGAGTAATGAGTAATCCCAGTCCTTTGTACACACCCTAAGCCCAGTCTAGCCTACATCTATATTCATTGCTCTCTCTCCTTTCCTTTCTTTACTTGGTGGAACCCATATTTCTTGCATCAGTAACTTCTCAAATGATCAGATAGAGCTAGCACTGCTATGGGCATTTATTGCCTCCTGCATGGACTGTGCTGAAGCCTCAAGTTCAGTTTGGTCTTTCAGTCTCTGAGTTCCTAGTTCTTTAAGGTGTTTTAAAACATTGCTTTCACAGTGATTCCCCTCTGCTCATAAATTTGGATTCGTGATTCTTCCTGTTTACCTGGCACTGAAGCACAGCCAAGATTCTTCCTCTAGCCTCACTTTCTCATGTTACTCTCCACTACTTCTATTTTAACCAAACACATCTGCTGGTCTGTTGCTTAAGCAATCGTCTTTACAGTTTGGCAACAACCATCTCCAGTTCTGGGGACATCTTCATCCCTTTTTTGCTGCCTGTCTGAACCCTGTGTATCCTTTTCTTGTTGACCACTGAGACATCCAACTAGTTTTAATACATTCATGTTTGATACTTACATGTACTTGTGTTCTTAACCCTTCCCAAGCAAATTAAAAGGTTTTTCTTTTGAAAGTTTTTCTGGCACTAAGGACCGTGTAATCTGCACAGGGGTTGCTTACTTCAATGATGGAGTATATAAGAGAACTTAATGTAGTCAACACACCATAGACTCTCACACAGCTTGGCGCTCTTAGTGAATACTTGTTGATCTAGAAGATAAAAGGCCCATCACAAATGAAATGGAATCCTAGCAGAATCCAGTTTTGTTTGGAACACGCTTTGTTCTTTGGAATTTATGTCCTATGTTTTCCTTGGTAATTTGGATATAAAACATGCACCTTGGACAGGGATAGTTATAGTTGTTAATCAGAGTAACAGCAGTAAAAATTCACATCTCAAGTTTAATTTTTATTAAATGCAGCAGGAATATGTTAGTGAAAATATGGCATTAAGGAAAGAACTTCTATCTGTCTTATTATTGTTTGCATTGTTAAAAATCAAACTCCTTTCCTTATAATCTTAGTATTCACAGTTTTGGACCTACATTGTTATTTCTTCTTTTTTTCTTTTTTTGAGTCAGAGTCTCACTCTGTTGCCCAGGCTGCAGTGGCATGTTCACGGCCACCACAGCCTTGACCTGCTGAACTCAGGTGATCCTTCTGCCTCAGCCTTCCAAGTAGCTGAAAACCAGGTGCACACCACCACGCCTGGCTAATTTTTTGATTTATTGTAGAGACAAGGTCTCACCAAGTTGTGCAGGCTGGTCTCAAACTCCTGGACTCAGGCGATCCTCTTGCCTTCCCTTCCCAAAATGCTGGGACTATAGGCAAGAGCCACTGCGCCCTGCCCATTGTTACTTCTTAATGGAGCAACCGGAAAAAAGTCTTGTGTATTTTAATGGCTTAATCTTAAACCTATATTTAAAGCCTCATTTAACCTTGAGTATTTCTAAACTATTAATTTATCTGTTTTTCTTTCCTTAGACTATTTCAAGTAGTACAATTCCGGAAAATGTGACAAGCGGTGGAAGGTTCAAACTTGACATTCTGAAAAATAAAGCCAAGAGATCCTTAACTAGCTCCTTGGAAAATATCTTCTCAAGGGTAAGATTCAACTGAGCATTTTTTAGGTAAACATGTCTGTGTTTTCTCTTTTACTTTGTTCTCAGCTGGCTCATAGATTTCCTTTAAAAAAAAACAACCAAAAAACAAAAACCCAAGATAACTTTTAATTAATTAACACATTTAAAATTATCTCTCAAAATAAGTTTCCTTCTCAGATCTAGATTTATTCTGGGATCTCTATTATCTGAATTTGAGTGACAGAGATTTAAATATATATTTTCTAGAAATATATATTTATAGAAAGGGAGAAATAGAATATCAATACCCAGTACTATAACAATTTTTAAAAATAATTTCCTGCTGGGCATGGTGGCTCACACCTGTAATCCCAGCACTTTGGGAGGTGGGGCAAGAGAATTGCCTGAGTCCATAGGTTTGAGACTAGCCTGGGCAACTCGATGAGACTTCTTCTCTACAATAAATAAAAAAAATTAGCTGGGTGTGGTGGTGTGCACGTGAGGTTCTAGTTTCCAGCTCCTTGGAAGGCTGAGGTTGGAAGGATCACCTGAGCCCAACAGGTCGAGGCTGCAGTGGCTGTGAGCATGCTACTGCACTCCAAACTGGGTGACAGAGTGAGACTCCTACTCAAAAAAAAAATAAATTCCCATGTAAAGTTATAAAGAACTTCTTTTGCCCATTCTTAGGTGCTGTTCAGGGAACACTAAAAATATGTATTATGTAATATGATTATGTATTCCATTTTGTAAATTTATATATTTCATTTTCAAGTAAGCAGAATGATTCTCCTTCATTTTCCTTTTCCTTAACAGTCTGTCTTAGAGCTGTTAGGTGAAATCTAGGATGGTAGGTGTCTTGGGCTGTGGGAGGGGGAGCCACGGTGGCTCTGAGTAGGGAGACATGTTCATTGGGGTACAGGGTGTGGATGTAGAAACCCGTGTTGTGAAAAGAGGAGGGCAACCTGGTTTGGCAAGTTGGGTAAGGCAGACATCCCTGCAGAGGGAAGGCCCAATGTGGGGTGTCAGAGCCAGAGTGGACAGGGTACAGTGTTTACAGCAAGATGGGGTAAGGTTCCAGCACAGCAAGATGGAGTTTGAGCAGGCTGAGGATGTCCATGTGTTGAGGTGACAGCTTGTTGTGGGGTGTGCTGAGGACAGTGTCTGTGTAATATCAATTGTGGACAGTGGTTATACACTGGAACTGCTCAAATAAGTCAATTAAGGATAGTAGGATCCAAAGAGAAGGCAATTACAAATATGAAACAGATAAAAATTAGAATGAACCTGTGTTGGATCCAACTTAGAGTTATCAGTAATAAATCATTTTAAAAAATATATATGCAAATATATAAATATATGTAATGCATTAGTGTGTGTGTGTGTGTGTGTGTGTGTGTGTGTGTGTGTGTGTATGTAAGTAAATGTGTATATATAGCTCCTGGCTCTGCCCACTAAGAGAACCTGGGAGCAACTTTTCTGTATACATCAGATAATAAGTCTCACTGGGTGGCATCTAGCACCCAGATTTTGGTTTCTGTATATACTTGTCCACTAGAAGAAATGAAGATTCTGAGAAAAATGACTAATTTCAGGACTACAGGGAATGTATAAGACAAGCCCAGAACATATTGGTGTTCTAGATAGGAAGTTCTTTTAAAAAGATGGTACTGGCCGGGCTTGGTGGTTCAGCCTGTAATCCCAGCGCTTTGGGAGGCCGAGGTGAGTGGATTGCCTGAGCCCATGGGTTTGAGACCCACCTGGGCAACTTGGCGAGCCCACGTCTCTACAATAAATAAAAAATCAGCCGGGCGTGGTAGCACGTACCTGTAGTCCCAGCTACTTGGAAGGCTGAGGCGGAAGGATCGCCGGAGCCCAGCAGGTTGAGGCTTCAGTGGCCACTCCGGTCTGGGTGACAGAGCGAGACTCCAACTCAAAAAAAAAAAAGATGGTACTATTTCATAAAAGCATAAAATCCTTGAAAGAGCTCCCACTGGTGACAGATGAGACAATATGACATCAAGATACAGGATAGTAACAGATCATCTAACCTGTTGCATAAAATAGGAAACCATGAGTCCATTCTGAAGCGAAAAAGAAATGAAGACATTGGAAATTTGATCATGAACAGGATAATTACTGTATGTAATTTATTTATGAATTACAAACGGGAAAATAACTTTGCACTGGAGAAGACTGGCCGATACCACCTTAGTAAAGTGAAATCCTGTGCTACCTGAGGTAAAGAACACAGCACTGTGTCTGTGGTATTCTAGCCAGAGGCAGGGCCTGGATCTAATCATGCGGGAATGTCAACAAACCCAAATTGAGATGCAGTTTACAAAACAAGCCTATCTTCAAAAGTGTCAAGGTCGAGCAAGTCAAGGACAAATTGAAGAATTATTCCATACTGAAGGACTATAAGAAAACATGAACACTAAATGGAACAGGAGATTATGAATTGGATCCTTTTGCCATAAAGACCTTCATTGGCCGGGTTCAGTGGCTCAGCCTGTAATCCCGCGCCTTTGGGAGGCTGAGGTGAATGGATTACCTGGTCCCCTGGGTTCGAGACCCGCCTGGGCAGTGAGACCTCATCTCTACAATAAATCAAAAAATCAGCCGGGCGTGGTAGTGCATGCCTGTAATTCCAGCTACTCAGAGGGTTGAGGTCGAAGGAGCGGCCACTGCACTCCTGTCTGGGCGACAGAGTGAGACTCCAACTCAAAAAAAAAAAAAAAAAAAAAAGACCTTCATTGGGACGATTGATACAAATAGAAGGAAGTCTGAGGATTAAATAGTATTATTTGCCGGGCGTGGTGGCTCATGCCTTTAATCCCAGCACTTTGGGAGGCTGAAGTGAGAGGATTGCCTGAGCTCAGGAGTTCGGAGATCAGTCTGGGCAACATGTCAAGACCTCGTCTCTACATAAAAAAAAAAAATTATCTGAGCATGGTGGCATACGCCTGTAGTTCCAGCTACTTGGAAGGCTTAAGCGGAAGGATCACCTGAACCCAGCAGATCGAGGCTGTGGGGGCCATGAGTGTGCCACTACACTCCAGCCTGGGCTACAGAGTGAGACTCTGACTCAAAAAATAAAAATAAAATATAAAAACATAAATAGTATTATTCTACCAATGTTAGTTTCCTGGTTTTGAAAGTTGTAATTTAGCTATGTAGTAGAATGTCTTCGTTTATAGAAAATATACAATAAAGTCTTTCAGGATGGTGGAACTGTATATTGGCAAATTATGTGCAAATGGTTTTAGGGAAAAAAACATTTTTTTTAACTGTACTTATAACTTGTCATTGCATTTGAGATTGCTTCAATATGAAAAAAGAAAAAGTGATGATTGTAAACTTGCTTATTACACACACCTCCCCAAGTTCACGCAGTTTGTTTTTTTTTTTTCCTTTCTGTTTTCATTTGTTAATAAATAGCTCAGACTATGAATGAATCAGAAGTACTGCCATTGTACTACTCTCTGTAAAGGCTCTTTTCTGAACCTAGCACATTGCATGTGTGAACAGCAGGTGGTGAGACTGTATGTGTGGTAGGTGATCAGACTCCTTGAAAAGTCTCAAAAGGTGCTTTAGATGGCTTTTTAAAAAAGTCTCTTGACTTTTTTTGTTAAAACAGAAGGAAAATTTTATCCTCAGTCTATAAATACATTCTTCAGTGATCTCCAAGTGCCTTTAAAGAGGCAAATGGTTGAGATAAATTCTTAGACTTTGAGGGGGACTTTGAAGCAACCACTTAACTCTGTTTGTGAATGTATGTTGTTTTCTTTTTATTTATGTTTTAGTTGGAGTCTCACTCTTGTCGTTCATGCTGGAGTGCAGTGGCACGCTCTGGGCCACCGTAGCCTTGACCTGCTGGGCTTAGGTGATCCTTCTGCCTCAGCCTTCCAAGTAGCTGGAACTACAGATGCACGCCACCACGCCTGGCTATTTTTTTGATTTATTGTAGAGATGCGGTCTCGCCAAGTTGCCCAGGCTGGTCTTGAACCCCCGAGCTCAGGCAATCCTCTTGCCTCAGCCTCCCAAAGTGCTGAGATTATAGGTGTGAGCCACCACACCAGCAGAAGTGTAATTCTTTTTTTTTTTTTTTTTTTGAGTTGGAGTCTCACTCTGTAGCCCCTACTGGAGTGCAGTGGCACGTTCACGGCCATCCCAGTGTCAACCTGCTGGGCTCAGGCGATCCTTCCACTCCAGCCTTCCAACTAGCCAGAACTATAGGCGTGTGCTACCACTCCTGGCTAATTTTTTTTTTTTTAATTTATTGTAGAGATGAGGTCTCGCTAAATTGCCTGGGCGGGTCTCAAACCCTCGGGCTCATGCAATCTACTTGCCTCAGCCTCCCAAAGTGCTGGGATTACAGGCTGAGCCCCCAGGCCCGCCCTGAAGTGTAATTCTTAAAGCAACAGCATCATAAACAGCATCAGCCACCTAAATTGAAGACTTTTGTTAGTGAAAATTTTAGTAGAAAGACCATTTGAGTAGATGTCAGGGACTTGAATGCGGCACTTGACCCTAGCAGATTTGATGTTTATGAATTTAGATGCATTACTTACTTTTTCTAAGCCATAGTTTCCCCATTTGTGAAATGGACATATTAATAACCATTAACCTCTCATTATTGTAGGGGTTAAAATTCTGCGTTATAGATATGAGATGGTATATTTAATGGTAAGCTCAATATGTCTGTCGTTGCTGGGTGTGACACAGAGGCTGAGGTGGAAGGATCAGGATTGTTTGAGGTCAGGAATTCGAGATCAACCTGGACAACACAGTGAGACCCCCCTTCTCTACACACACACACACACACACACACACACCAGAGAGAGAGAGAGAGAGAGAGACACCTCTGTTGTTTACAAAATGACAATAGGGTATTTAAAGTGTTGAGACCCCCTTTCTCTACACACACACACACACACACACACACACACACACACACACACCCCTCTGTTGTTTACAAAATGGCAATAAGGTATTTAAAGTGTTACTTTCTGTATCTCCATTTAGTACCTTGGCATCCTGCATACTACTTGCATGGCCGACTTTGCAGTGTCTTTTCCGCATGCCTTGAATTGCTGTAATGACTCTTTCAGTAAGGAGCCAATCTATTTTGGTCAAGGTGGATACTGTAGCTTTTGTGTTCCAAAGCGATGCCAAATGCTATAAATTTTGTGACCTAACAAGGTCTTGCTTGCACTTGTTGGACAGGTTGGCAGCTTCCCATGTGGTATTAAAAGTTATATAGCAAAAGGTGTTTTGTGTGCTCTAAAACTTGTTAGTTTTCTTTTTCTCTGAGTTGTATAGGAGAAAACTTATATTCCAGTTGCAGAGTTTAGCTCATAATTGCTGCCTTTTTAAAATGCTTAGAAACTCAGCTCATTAATCATTAAAAAGTGAGTTTAAGGGCCTGATGCATGAATGACCAAATCATAATGTAGTAAAACTGGAAAAGCTGTCTGTTCCAAGGGGACATTCAGAATCACGTATTGTAGATGTTGTCTTTGGCTTTTTCTTCAGTTGAAGTTTTCAAAAACATAAATATTTACCAGTATCAAGTACAAGTCATTTTGAAAGAGTCATTTCATTAGAGTAATATTAGTTATTTAGTTGTTGAAATGCCTAAAGTGGCAGAGTATCATTTTAAAGTGTTTGTTTATCTTTGTGAACAAAAGAACACATGTGGAGAAAACACCATTATGGGTAAAATATCTGATTTAAGGTACTTTTCTAATAATGGAAATGGTTTTATACCCCCTCTGACTACTTTCTCTGTTGTGACCAAATGACAGAGATAACTAGGCAGGTTGAGATGACCAGGCAGGTTGGCATATGAGTTGCTACTAAAATAACAGAAATAACAGTTGCTAAAAATAACAGAAAACAGCTTCATCATATTTTATTTTCCTCTTGGCCACACACACGAACCCAGTAATTTATTAGTCACAAATACAGTGTATTACTGGCAGTAAGTGAGTTATAGCATAGAAGTGAAGAACTGGAAAGATCTTCATGAAGATCTAGGACATTTGCAGAATTCCACTTAACCTGTGTAGGCTAATTAGCTTTATTTGTAAGCTGTTTTTTCAAAGTTTTATCTGAGGGAGTTAATAGTAAGAGCCACCTCCTCCACCGTTTCTTTTTCCAGTTGGGGTCTCACTCTGTTACCCAGACTAGAGTGAACGATCATGGCTTACCACAGCTTCAACCTCCTCGGCTCAGGCACTGCTTCCCTTACAGCCTCTAAGTAGCTGGGACTATGGGTGTGAATCACCACGCCCAGCTAATTTTTTGATTTTTTTTTGGTAGAGACAAGGTCTCATTTGTTGCCTCAGCTGGTCTCAAACTCCTGGGCTCAAGTGACCCTCTCAAAGTGCTCGAATTATAGGTATGAGCCACCACACCTAATATAAAAGCTTCCCTTTTATTTATTTATGTATTTGTTTGTCTGTTTGTTTTTAAGTAAGAGTCTTTACTGTGTTGCCCTGGCTGGAGTACAGTGGCATGTTCACGGGGCACCTCAGCCTTGACTTGCTGGGCTCAGGTGAGCCTTCTGCCTCATCCTTCCAAGTTGCTGGAACCACAGGTGCATGCCACCACGCCTGGCTAATTTTTTTGATTTATTGTAAAGACGAGGTGTCACCAAGTTGCCCAGGCTGGTCTCGAGCCCCTGGGCCCAGGCAGTCCTCTCGCCTCTGCCTTCTAAAGTGCTGGGATTACAGGTGTGAGTTACCATGCCCGACAAGAGCTTCACTTTTAAATTGTGCTTTCTGTGTTCAAATTGCTATTTTTTTTTTAAGCCAGCTGTGTAGACTTGGGTAACATAATCTATCAGAACTTCAGTCTCTGTGTCTGTGAAATTGGACTAAATAACTGCACTTACCTCACAGAATTGTTGTGAGGATTAAATGAGATAATGTAGTGTAAAATGCTTAAGGATTAAATGAGATAATGTAGTGTAAAATGCTTAATGTAGTCTATGGATTGTGATAAGCTTTCAGTAATAATAGGTGCAGCTGTTTATTAATATTATTGCTATAGTTGTTATATAGTGAGCCATTGAGAAACAATGCTGTTTCACATTGCTTCTGTGAAACAAGATCAGATACCATACATATAAAATAGTCATCTGAGAATAAGAGAGGACTGTTAAAACCTTCTGATAGCAGGCATAAGAAGAAAAATTAATAGAAAGCCAGGAAATTAGATTTGAAAAATTCTTTCAGAACATAGAGCAAAATGGCAAAGAAAAAGGAAAATAGGAGAACAGGGTCCAAAGTTAAAGATCAGTCTGGAACCAAAATGAAATACAGAATCATTGCAGGAAATAGAGAATAAATGCAGGAAATTTTCAAGCCTGTAATTCCAGCAAGCCTGTAGTCCCAGCACTTTGGGAGACCGAGGTGAGAGGATTGCCTGAGCCCAGGGGTTCAAGACCAGCCTGGGCAACTTGGCGAGGCCTCATCTCTACAATTAAAAAAAAATGAAAAAAATTAGCTGGGCATGGTAACTCACCTGTAGTTCAGGATACTTGGAAGGCTGAAGTGGAAGGATGGCCTGAGCCCATCAAGTGGACTCTGGGGTAGCCATGAGCTTGCCACTGCGCTCCAGCGTAGGCGATGAAATGAGACTCTGACTCCAAAAAACAAAAATTTTCTCAGTGCTAATGAACATGAATTTCCAGATTTAGTGGTCTCAGAAAATGCACAATAGAATGAGCAAAAATCATGCTAAGGCATATTGTTGTGAAATTTCAAAATGCCCAAGGGCAAACTTAAATTCTGTTCCAAAGCGAAATAGCAGGTTATATACACAGGTTCTAGGATCACAATGACATCAGACTTCTGAAGCAAAGGACACTTTAGCAATGCTAATGTATTTTGAAGGAAAATGTCCAACCACAATGATATATAATATTCATTCAAACTATTAGTGAATGATTGGGCCAGAACATAGAAGTTTCCATAATGGGTGCTTAAAGGAAGACAAAAAATTGTAATTAATGGATTATGTGATGTTTGACCACATTGTGAGCTGTAGGAGAGTTTTGTAATCAATTCGGAATTGCTGAAGCAGCTATTAACTCGGCGAAAAACAAAATGTTCAAGATATGAGACCTAGTCAGACATAATACATCATAGTACAATATGACTTCTTTACAAAGTCATAAGAATAAGCACAAACTAACTGACTTACCTAAAACTTTTGATGCCATTTTATTGAGAGAGATGGCAGAAGTGTGTGTGTGTGTGTGTGTGTGTGTGTGTGTGTGTGTGTGTGTGTGTGTGTGCGCGCGCGCTGGGTGATAGGGTAGGGGCAAGAATACTAAAGTCGCATCTTCCAGAGTTAGGAAGTCAACAGATAGTGCCTAAAATGGAAAGATTAAGGAACAATGGTATAAGATGAATACCAGAACCATCTGTCTAAATAATTTCAAAGTTTGCTTCTGGGAAGTGGGATTCAGAATGTGGGGGAGGGTGGGAAGGGGTTAGTGATCACCACTTTTTGTGGTAAGCTTGGTAGCACAGTTTGACTTTTGAAACTTTGTGTAAGTATTACTTTGATTAAAAATTAAAATGAGATTTAGTCCTGTCAGCCAAAGGAAAAAGCTGAGGCAAATTTAATAGCAGAGAGCTTATGTGGGCCAAGTTTGAGGATTGCAACCCAAGAGTATATTAGTAGATCCAAGTTGTCCTGAATATACACTTCAATTAGCAGCAGTTACAAGTAGATTTTTTTAAAAAGGAAAACAGTTATTATATTATACTGTTCCTAAATTGTTTGCCAAGAATTTTCATTAAAATAACATAAGTTATTGATTGGCTGTATATTGTTCTTTGTATCAGATTCCAGGAACACAAAGATAATGGGTGAGGCAACTAGTAAGGAACAACAACAACAACAAATTGCCCCAGGGAATGGGTGTGTATGTGTGGGTGGGGGGTTGGGACTGGAGTCCTATACTCATGTTTCTCCGGGCCTGATAAATTGGACATACCTCACATAGCTCAGACTGCTCTGAGCTGGTTTTCTTTTTTAAAATCTCTTCCTTCCCCAAAATTAAACCCATGAATGTATGGAGACAGACTTTAAAACTGTAAAGTACTATGCAAATATATATATATATATGTATTGTTTTGCAAAGTCACTGTCTCATTGACCTGACTTGTGTTTACAGTCGTTCTTTTTAGAACGTTTCTATGTGTTTTAGAGTTGTGTAGTACTCCTCAGGGTGTGGTTTGTCTCTTAAGACCTTGTAAATAATGTGGTTCCCTACTGTTGTATCTTTCTTCCTTCAGTAGTTTGCCTCAGTTTCTTCCTATGAAAAGTGAGGGAAACAGACAAGGTGATCTCTTAGGTGCCTCTTTCTGAGATCATCTATAAAATCCACACCAAAGACATAAGTGAAAAGAAAATCAATAACCAATTCACCAGTATTGAAGCAGACTAAGTGAAATGACTTATTGAAATAGTCTTACATTATGGAATAATGACTCAAGCAAAATCCGTAGATTCTAGAATATAGTTTTCTATTTTGTTTTCAACCTACCTTTATTATAATCCTATAATGTGAATTATGATGTTTGTAATTTGGGTTCCATGGAGGTTTATGTATTAAACCATTTTCTTTATTACTTTGTTTCTGCTGTATTCTTCCCATCTGTATTTATCTGTGTGTAAGACAGAGTTAATGGGGCACTCACTGATCTTATGGAAGAATAATGTGTAATCTTGTAACCAAACTAACTTGAAAAAGCTTGGGCTGAGTATCTAGTTAAATAACAGCTGATTTAGAAATAATGGAAATAGATTGGGGTTAGTTCTGTTAACCAAGCTTGATGACTGTTAATATAGCCACCGAATTTGAGTGAACTACAAAAAGATTAATTTAATGATGGCATGAAGAGGCAACCTGAAACTGCTGTTTATAGTTTTGAAGTCAAATTTTAAATCATATGAAGGATGTCATTTTATTCCTTTCACTCAGGGGGCTAACAGAATGAGAGGTCGACTTGGAAGTGTGGATAGCTTTGAACGCTCCAACAGTCTTGCTTCAGAGAAGGTATTTACCTCCCTTGTTTACTACTAATTGTGACTTAGCAAAGGCCAACACTGATACTGTAGTATACATGCTTAATTATTTTATTGTAATTCCTTTATAACTTTTAAAATATAAATATTCAAGTCTTTATTATTTTAAATAAGAAGATTCTGAGTACTATTATGTAATCAGCTAGTGTTATTCAGCTAGGCCTCCTCATGTTGTGGGAGAACACATCCTTTCCAGGCTAACTGCTCTGCCAGGCTTTTTACTGTCTGGAGATAGTAAGCTTCGGAGGACTGTATTTCAACAACTGTTGATTCAAAGCCATATAATAATGTATGTACTAGCCATGTAGTTACTAATTGCTAGTATAGTAATTTTTTTTGTTCCCTTCTCTTGTTACTTTTTTTCCCCTAATTTTTTAATCATTTTAACTGCGACATTAGGGTCTTAACTTTATCTCATATACAACTAACTCTAGGTTGTAGGTTTGGTTTCCTGTTTCCTGTGTCATACACACATAACCTGAGGCATATGCAACCAATTTTTTTAAAATGGAAAAATATTAGAATGTTTTTATTAAACATTTTGTTGATGGAATTGTGGACTTAGTCCAGTTATGAGTCTGTTATCCCTAACCCATGTTTATCAAGCTAACCATTTCTACAGTGGTGCCTGTTCTGGAAAGTATAAACAGCATACCTGTCTAAATTGAAAGATTTATGATGTCTCCCCATGCAATCTGAAATGCATTCCAGCATAGCTCACTTTTCATTCATTTCCTGTTTTTCATGTGTTTTAAAAGAAATTTACCTCAGGGAACATGTAATTGGATGAAAACATCCACAGTGAAGAGAGATACTTAACAGGCTTTATTTTACCTTCCTGAAGGCTTTGCCATGAGACCAGGACACTTAGGCATTGTGATATTTTTTGACAGTACGGGAAGCATGCAACTGATATGTCACGGAAGTTAGGAGACACGTATAAACACAGACTCCACCTTCTTTTGATCATGATCTCTTTTCATCTTTCTGGCAACAATGAGAAAAGTATAATAGCTGTAGCATTTTACCACAAAGTGTCGGGGGGAAAGAATACCTTTTCTCATCCTCCCTTTCACTTTCTGGCCTATCTTTACGGATGCTGTCTTGCAGCTGCTTATCGCAAGAAATGGGCTGTGGTGGTGATACTGATTAGCCTTCGGCATAGATTGAGTAAAAGGGGGGAAAAACAGTTTTGTCATGACTCAGGAGGAAGATGAGGCACGCTGTCACTTTTGAGCTCTGTGTTTCAGCAGGTCTGCCATAACCCACTTAGGACAGAAAGACCTTCCTTCTGCTTGCATTTCAGGACTATTCACCAGGGGACTCTCCACCAGGGACGCCGCCAGCCTCCCCACTGTCCTCAGCTTGGCAGACCTTCCCTGAAGAGGATTCTGACTCCCCGCAGTTTCGGAGACGGGCACACACGTTCAGCCACCCACCTTCAAGCACCAAGAGAAAGCTGAATCTACAGGATGGGCGGGCTCACGGGGTGTGCTCCCCCTTGCTGAGGCAGAGCTCCAGCGAGCAGTGCAGGTAAGTCCAGCCTTCTATCCAAAATGCGACATCACATTCTCATGTCACCCTGTTCTGGTCACTCTGGAGGCAAAAGCGATTATGACTGTAGCCAACTTGTAGTTTTTAAAAACATTATTAAAATAAATTAATTTGCCTCATTTACTAAGGGAAACAAGGCAAGGTTAAGGCACACCCAGAGAGAAGTGTTAATGCGTTTTGTGTGGAAACTTTTTTTTCCTTTCAGAAAAATGGAAAAAACAAGGTATCATGCAGTTGTTTTGACTGAAAACCCGCTGACAACACGTTATTCGTGTCTTGATGATGACTCTAGAGAAATAAAGTCAGCACATTTGAAAATAACATAGCAGTAGAACTTCCTGTTAGACTACAATAAAATACCAGAGTGAAAAATAATCACCCAAATTACCCTTACACATGAGATAATATTTGGCTATATTTTAATACATAATAAATTAAAGCTAAATATGAAAATTATTGCAAATTTTATCTAGAATAAAGTGCTATCTATAAAGAAGACTGTATGCACCATAATTTAAAGGCCATGTCCACTAGAAATGATCATACATGATATTTTAAAAAATAATTTCATATAGTTGTTTGACATTTGGCAAGAAATAATAAAGGGGTAACCCTGGAATTATAGAAGGATTTACTTCTTACTGTGTATCATAGATCATAATTTATGTCTTAGAACTAATTTTATGTATCTTCTTTACCTATAAGTCTGATACAGAAAACAGAGTTGGACAAGGATCCTGGTTGGAGAGAAAAAAAAAGTCAAAGTAAAAAGAGTGGGCTAATTTTTATATCAAGTTTTATTAATTTTACCAGCATTTCTTTTAAGGCTGCAGTCTTATTTTCATTGTTGTTTCCTGAATGATTAGAAATTTAAAAATAAGATATTTATAAGATAAAGTTGATCAACAGAATTAATTATTCTCAGATTTGTGTGTATGTATGTGTGCGAAGAGTGTTAAATACTCTAGTATATACCAATATTTTTTAATGATCACTTAAGTTTACTTAAGTGACCAGCCTGGGCAACATTTGCAAGGCAATAAGACTTTTTTTCCAGGAAAAATTATTATCAAGAGTTAAAATATCAATTATTTTAGACTATAAATGATAGTTCATTTCTTTCCTATATTTTCCACATTTTATAACATGTAAGTTCAAACAGTTGCTGTCAATATAAAAAGATGTTATTTGTGTCATTGTGAAAACTTGCTACACAAAGAATCTTCCAGATTTTGCATTTGGATTAAGCCACAGTGGCACAATTCCAGTCTTCAGGAAAGAACATGGGCATTAATGTTCAAGCAATAGTTATTATGATGCTTTCCAGCAACCAAACATGTTGTTCTTAAATATTTAGAAGGGTTTATATCTTTAAAATAGTCAAAGTCTTTGAACTACTGATAATCAGTTTTTCCTTCTGGAACTTGTTTCCTGTAATTATTTGTGCTTTCCTACTTTTTTCCCCTTGAAGTATCTTTTGCATGTAAAAACAAACACTGTTTGTTCTAAGTTAAGAATTTTTTAGAAACAAACACAGATGCTTAGAAATACTGTATAGATGAGAAATTCAGCTTATCAGAGAGTGAAATTAGGCCATAGTCACCTAAATAGTGACCTGCATGCTTCTTATTTTTTTCCATGTAAGATTCAGCCCTATATTTTGAAAGGAAAGGTTAAATTAATAGCAAGAACCTGTTTTTATGCTTTTTCATAATGAATGCAAATTTTGCCAAAATATAAATTAAGACCACTTTGCTGTATTTTCTGTACTCAGCATTCTTCCGTCAGTCCGACGCATGCACAAGGAGAGTAATTCTTCCTCCAGTCTTCCAAGTCTTCACACTTCCTTCTCTGCCCCTTCCTTCACTGCCCCCTCTTTCCTGAAAAGCTTTTACCAGAATTCAGGTAGACTGTCCCCACAGTATGAAAATGAAATCAGGTGAGATCAGTGTCCTCTGTTTGCAAAGCAAAATTTTCTGCAGTGCTATACTGATGTGTTACTAAAAAGTGACTGATTAATTTTGGAGTGACATTTATGCATCCTTTTGTTGTGCTTGTTCTAATCTGTTTCTAATATATTGGTTTAAATTTTATCAAGAAACTTTCTAAGCTAGCAGTTTGAAAGCTTTTTGATGACAAAATTATCTTTTAGAATTATATTATTTGCATTATTGGTATGTTTATTTTCCTCTGATACCAGAGTCAAAGCTTTGTATTGTTAACATAAGAACTGGTGCTAACGCATACTCAGCAAACCTTCTTTGAACATGCCTTTCTTTTCTTAGCCTCTCTAGACATGTTTATAGAACTCAATAGCTGCCTGGTGTGGTGGCTCACACCTTTTTAATCCTAGGTCTTTGGGAGGCTGAGGCGAGAGGATTGCTGGAGCCCAGGAGTTCGAGACTAGCCTGGGCAACATAGCAAGATTTTGTTTCAACAAAAATAAAAATAAAAAAACTAACTGGGCACGATGTAGGTGCACACCTATAGTCCCAGCTACTCAGGAGGCAGAGGCAGAAGAACCACTTGAACCCAGGAGGTCAAAGGCTGTGGTGAGCTGTGATCGCGCCACTGCTTTTCAGCTCAGGCAACAGAGTGAGACCCCACTCCAAAAAGAAATACACTACAGTTTATTCACTGTCTTGCTGATGGGCATTTGGGTTGTTTCTAGTTGCTTGATCGTTGGCAATTCTTGTCGTCAGGAGAGGAATACATGTTATCAACCAGCCTATCTGTGTTTTACCAAAATCTTTTTGGCTATCCTTTTGGCCTATTTTCTTGTAGACACAGGAAATTCTAAAAGCATCTAACTAGGTAACCCTCACTAACTAGTTAAATTAGACTAATCATTGAATTTTCTCTGAGTATCTTTTGTCCATGTGTGCCTATTTTTTTTCACTTTAAGAAAGATAAATAATATCGGATTAATGTAATTTGAATCTGAACTATCTACTACATTAGTATAAAAATTCATGTTCAAAAACTGAATTTGATTTCTAGTGAAGAAGGTAAGTGAAGAATTTATTTTAAAGTGTTTTCAGGGATAATTTTTTTTTTTTTTTTGAGTTGGAGTCTCACTCTGTCGCCCATACTGGAGTGCAGTAGCCGCTCCCGGCCACCGCAGCCTCGACCTGCTGGGCTCCGGTGATCCTTCCGCCTCAGCCTTCCGAGTAGCCGGAATTACAGGCACGCGCTACCACGCCCGGCTGATTTTTTTGATTTATTGTAGAGATGAGGTCTCGCTGCCCAGGCGGGTCTCGAACCCGCGGGCTCAGGCAATCCACTCACCTCAGCCTCCCAAAGGCGCGGGATTACAGGCCGAGCCACCGAGCCCGGCGTTTCAGGGATAATTTTATGAGAGAAGTTTTAAAGGAAGTTAGCCACTAAATAGTATAATATGTATGAAATATTAAATGAATTTAGAAAGCCAAGAATATACATGTGTAAAAATATCGGTTTGCCTTATCTCTACCGATACTGCCTATTGGTAAGAATACAACACTTTAAATCAAACCTATTTGCTATCTTTATGTTCAAGCGACCATTTGTGGAATCCTAGATTCCTTCCTGAAAAGGAATCATGCCTTAAAGGGCCAATTAGGAATAACCATTAAGAAGGTTAAAGGTCAGCTGTGAATAGGAAGTAGAGTACAAAAGTGGTGACTTTTTAAACAACATTACATATGCTGTTTAAAATAAGATTATTCATTTGCTTTCAAGAATTTCTGCTTAGTTGTGTGGTATTCTTTCCAATAGCTTCCCGAAAACATCTATGCCTCATTCCAATAGAATAGCATTATTGAGGGCAAATATATGTTAGTTTTGGGTTGAAGAATTTCACTTTTCTGTAGCTATGTTATTTGAAGTGCTATGTTTAAAGATATAAAGAACTTTTATATGTGTAGGATCATTAAAACTCTTTCTAGTTCCTGTACATTTTAATATTTTCTTGCATGTGAGCAACTCTAGAAATCAAAATACTTTTTTGTACACTTTCCTATACTCTTTTAGTTGAACAGCAAACACTCAGTAGGCCAAAAGTATATTTGAAATAAAAAATACTTTTATGGAAAAGGAAACCAGTCACAATCACCAAGCCCAGTGGATTATCACAAAGTGAATCCACTATTTCCCCACCACTGCAGTCAATAAATGGAATGCCACCATCATGCCTGCTGCCACTCCTCTCATTTTCTGACCCAATTGCTGTCTCCATGCTGACTCAGATATCACAGAGTAGGTTTGCCTGGTTGAACTTTACATAGATGGAGTGATGCAGCATATATTCTTTTTTATATCTGACTTCTTTCACCGACATTAGTTTGTGAGATTTATTTCTGGTTTTTTGTGCACTTTACTTCATTTTTTATTGCTGTGTAGTATTCCATTTACTATATCACCTTATCCATTCTCCTGTGAATGAACATGTGGGTTGTTTCTAGGTTTTTGGCTTTGAAAAGAGTAGTGTCTTTACTATTATTGTACGTATCTTTAGTTGTTCCTACATAGGCATTATTGGTGACTACACAGTAGTAAAATTGTTAGGCAAAAATGCATTCTTAATAGGTTTATTTCAGCTAGTAAGTCACTTAGATGTAAATTTACCAGTTACAGTCCTGGAGAGAGTTTTTTGGGTTTTTTTGTATTTTGAAATAATTTCAATTTTAGAGAAAAGATGCAAAAATATTACAGAGGACTCCTACCAAGTTAATCAATTTTTAACATTTTGCTACATTTGCTTAATTATTCTCTTTGTTAATTTATATGCATATATGTATATAGTTCTTCATTAGAAGCCATTTGTGGATAGGTTGCATGCATCATATCCCTTTACTGTTAATATTTTAGGGTGTTTCCTAAAAACAAGAGTATTCTAGAGCATAGTTTTAATCCAGTGGTTTCTGAACTCTACACCTCTCATTATCACTTGTTTCAGAAAGAACATCATGCACACATGATTACTATGGTATCTGGCACTGTTTAGGATAATGAGGAGAGGAGGTTCATAATACTATCAATTATAATTTTCTTGTCACTTGGGTACCTAATATCTTATTAGTTGCATAAAATGACTCTCTAAATATGCATAGTCAAGTAGGGAACAAGGCAGTAGGATATGGGCTAATGATACTACTTTTTAAAAAGCATATTAATTTTAAATTTAGTTTAGGCGTCCTTCTCCAGAACCACTCCTGAATTATTAAAAATATGTCAGGTTACTCTTTGCAAGCAGGCTGAGAAAAAGGAGCCAAGATCATTTTAATAGTTAGTAGAATTATTTGCACAGCATTGAAATGATAGAGAAGAGGGAATAAATATATTTTTGATTTTGCCTTACTTTGAACTAATTTCCAAAATTTAATGTTATTTTATTGTTTAGTAAGCTATAATTTTATATGAGGGTATGGTATATTTTTATAACATCTATTAAATATATTGTATCCTTTTATCAACAGGCATATTTTTTACTTCTTATAATTGCTTCTCAGATTTTAAGCCTATATTTAAACAATTATTTGTACTGGAATTAAAAAAAAAGTAATTGATAGTCAAAAAAAGTAATTGAAAATGTTAAAAGTAATTGATAGTCAAAAAAAGTAAATGATAGTCTTTACTTCTATTCACTTATGACACTTTTTAGAAAATAAGATTTTTGCTGATGAACTACTTTGTGATACAGTTTTGATTTCTGATTTTAAAAAAGTGTATGATTATTTATTATGGTTCATTTAAAAAGTAACCTTACCATGACTTACTGATGACTTGTGGGAATGCCTTTATTCTAAACCCTGAGTGTGGACATATATCTCTCTGTATGTGCTAATGCCATTCCTTGTTTTCCTGTTGTACTAGACAGGACAATGCTTCAGAATCAAGGTGATTAGAGGTCTAAATATTTTCATTATAAAAATCATAGATTCTTCCAACTGAATGCCACTATTAGTTTAAAAAGCTGCTTTGGTTTTCTCTTGAATGCATGCCATCTTACTGAGTACTTTGAGGTCTATATAGCAGGGAAATGTGACCTCTAGTGTAATCAAAGATCACAGATAGTCATATAAAATGTTAATTGCAAGCAGAAATCCTGTTTCTACTCTATTCCATGTTGAAATTTCCTTAGAGCTGTGCTGTAGCCTTCAATCAAAGCCTACTTTTATTGTTAAACTAACAGAAATGAATTTGCTAGTTGGGAAGGATATATGTGCATATGAGGAGTTTATTCCAAATGCCAAGAAGATGTCGAAATGAGCATCCTAAAAGAAACATACTCTTAAAGTCAAATCTGGTTTTCAACTGAGGAGGATTATTAAGCTCTGTTCCTCATAATTCCTGTCACTTTGGGCCCTTTAAGACCTCACATTTCTCTGGACACAGGAAAACACTCAGTCCCTTATAATGGAAGTCTAACCATATCTGTGATGACTTGTCTCCTCTTGACTCATATGCTTTTTTTTTTTTTGAGTGGAGTCTCACTTTGTTACCCAGGCTGGAGGGCAGTGGCATACTCCTGGTCACCGCAGCCTCAACCTGCTGGGCTCAGGCTAATTTTTTGATTTACTGTAGAGATGAGGGGTCACCAAGTTGCCCAGGCTGGTCTTGATCCTGTGGGCTCAGGCAATTCTCTCAGCTTGGCCTCCCAAAGTGATGGGATTATATGTGTGAGCCACTGCACCTGGTCTCACATGCTTTTTTGTAGTAGACATCCAGAATCACTGCTGAACAACCTAACTGGAAAGGATGTTCTGATTTGTTTCACTTTCATCTCATGAGGTTGGTGCTCATATCATGAGCCCAGTGAAAAACAGACATACATGTGGAGCCACTAACATTTAGATTTCTTTGTAACTGGAGTAAAAAAATAATATTAAAGATTGGACTAGAATGAGATATTCAAAGAGAAAAAAGTTTTCAGAAAATTATTTTGGCCACATTGGTAAG